TTGTGTGGGGTGTACATCAAAGCTGTCAACAACGTCAGGCTAAACAGCTCCTGGTAGAGTACAGCTCCTGGTAGAGTACAGCTCCTGGTAGAGTACAGCTCCTGGTAGAGTACAGCTCCTGGTAGAGTACAGCTCCTGGTAGAGTACAGCTCCTGGTAGAGTACAGCTCCTGGGGGGTAGAGTACCGCTCTTGGGGGGGGGGGGGGGGTAAAATACAGCTCCTGGGGGGTAGAGTACAGCTCCTGGTAGAGTACAGCTCCTGGGGGGGGGGGGTAGAGTACAGCTCCTGGGGGGGGGGGTAGAGTACCGCTCCTGGTAGAGTACAGCTCCTGGGGGGGGGGGGGGTAGAGTACAGCTCCTGGGGGGGGGTAGAGTACAGCTCCTGGGGGGGGGGGTAGAGTACCGCTCCTGGTAGAGTACAGCTCCTGGGGGGTAGAGTACAGCTCCTGGGGGGGGGGTAGAGTACCGCTCCTGGTAGAGTACAGCTCCTGGGGGGGGGGGTAGAGTACCGCTCCTGGTAGAGTACCGCTCCTGGGGGGTAGAGTACAGCTCCTGGGGGGTAGAGTACAGCTCCTGGGGGGGGGGGGGTAGAGTACCGCTCCTGGTAGAGTACAGCTCCTGGGGGGTAGAGTACAGCTCCTGGGGGGTAGAGTACAGCTCCTGTGGGGGTAGAGTACAGCTTCTGTTAGAGTACAGCTCCTGCTACACAGCTCCTGCTGGGGTAAGCTGTTTTTAAGAAAACAGCTCCGATTAGGATACAGCTTTTAAGAGGAAACAGGTCCGGGTAGAGTCTTACCCAGCGTAGATGTTAGTCAAGGTTTTTGTGCGAGTTGCCGGCCATAAAACTGACTGTCTACAGCCGACAATAGCTGTCTACAGCCAACAATAGCTGTCTACAGCCGACAATAGCTGTCTACAGCCAACTATAGCTGTCTTCAGCTAATATAAACTTATCCAGCATTAATCCCTACATTTGCATGCAGTTAAAATTAAGTTGTGTTAAAATTCGTCCCGGAAAAAAATGAGGTTTATTTTATTTCTGAAGTTGACATGTCGCCTATTGAGTATTACTAGCGTCTTCTGCCTACCTGCTAGCTTACGCTAATATAGGCCTAAATTTGTGATCAGTTTACAACTTTACCGTACACTGTTCATTGAACAAGCCTCGATTTATGCAGCGGTCTGCTGAAAACGAATGGAACGGCCTCGCATATTGCAGGCCAGCGGTAGGAAGCTTCCAGAAACAATTTTATACAATAATTCGACGTCACAAGTTGGTGACCACTTACAATAATTTGTAAGTTCTGTGTTAGAGAAATCTTAATTTGAAAATAATTTGCACGAAGACGAACACCATTTTACGCCAACCCGATACTTTGTAACCCTGATAGAATTTATAAATTGGTTGGCCTGAACGAAAAATGCTTTCTTGTTTCAACCCAAAAGGTGAAAAGATTAGAGTGAGTTTAGAGTTTTGAAATATTGTCACAAATGATGATTAATTCTGAGGCTACCGTAAAATGAGAGTAAGAAAAGTATCGGATAAATGCTTTAATCGATTACACGGTATCGGATTAAAACAAGAACATTGAACAAACCATAATTATTGTGTTTGGTCCTACTTAATCAAACAGTGATAACAAGATGTGATATTTTAAAACATGTGATTATCTGATATGTAGTAATGAAAGATGTGGTTTTGAAACATGTGGTAATTAATATAGTAATTATAGTGGTAATTAAAGTGGTAATGTGGTAATCAAAGACTTGTTAATCCAAGATATGAAGAAAACATATGAGAGGTGTTAATTTTCTGTGCCGGCCCCGGGCCGCTTGACGGCAGAGATGAGATGACCTCCTTGTTATCGAAGGTGGGGAGGGGGGGGGGGGGTGGAACAATTGTTAAAATATTTACTTTCCAATTATCTATATCAATTATATATTTTTAAAAATTGAGTTTGGGGGAGGGGGCGGTAGACGTGCTTTGGGGGAGGAACAGTACCTTCCTCTCACAGAAATACCTGAAAGAAACTCTGGCAGCTATGTGTACTACTGTGTACATCGATGTCACCTCTGGCTCTACAGACAAAGTATGTGTACATCACGTCATGTACACACGTTTCATCTGTTTAATGTTAGTCTGTGTGTGTGTGTGGGGGGGGGGAGATTTGAGTGCTCCTGTTGTATACTTGAAGTGAATGTTTGCCACTTTGATGTGAAGTGCTGATGGCATCTGATTATATTTGGGGAGGGGGGGGGGCATTTTATTTCTATTAGAACCATGCTAAACGACAGCATGCCATGGATACTGAAGTAGTTAGCTGCCAATTTTCTGGCTATAGTTTACAAAACTGTAGAAATTGTATTTTGGTGGGTGTATCAAGATGGTTGAATTTTGTATTAAACTTTAAAAAACAAACAACTCATATTTAATTCTCTGACCGAGAAAGTTGTGTAGATAGTGTGTACAAGAGTGGAGGGTTTACGACATAAGGGGAGAGCAGCGACGTCTTAAGATTTCGTCTTGTCTTTAAGACGGTGATCTCCCATAGGCTGAAGTTTCTGAAGGTTTGTGTTATACCGTCAAGTTTGGTAATTGTACTGGTAAGTTTGTTTCGTTGTGTGTGGAGTAAGGCTTGACCAGTGGTTTGTAGTCTGTCTGTGTGATGATCTGTGTGTGTGTGTGATGTGTATGCGTATGCGTATGCGTATGCGTATGCGTATGTGTATGTGTATTTGTATTTATATTTGTATTTGTATGTGTATCTATGATGTTATATATATGTAATCTTGTATATGTTTATGATTGTTTATTTGCGTATCTTGTTTATGATTGTTTATTTGCGTATCAACACGTTGGGGAACATTGCATGTACAACAGAAAAAAATGTCAAGAAAATTAAAATGAAAGCAAACTACGTGTGTAAAACAGCGCCGCGAAAAAGTATTTCTGTCCAAATGTAAGCTAAATAATTACATTCTCATCGTGTCTTGACACGTTTGAAAGAAATCGAACCGGTAGAAATGGTCGAAATTTCGCTCGTAAGTTTCCGCTCATGACGGACGATAAAAGCATAAAGCTCGACAGAGGAATCAAGTTTAAAGCTTGTAAAAATAGTCTGTATAATTATGAATACCCAGTTTAGTTTTATTTCTAGAAACAGCAAAAACATTTCAAACATTTCAAAACTTTCTTTCTAAAACTCCGCTAGCACGAACTAGCACCAATACAAGCAAACAGTGGAAACAAAATGGCTGCAGGCTGCACTAGTTTTATTTAAGTCCAACCTAAGGAGCTGGAACATACATTTCTGCAATAGATATCATCATACACGGGCAGCGATACTAAAATACTAACTCAAACTTTCTTATTAGTTGGTACACAACTACTTTAAACTAGGTGATTCTTCGGTTCTAATTCAGCTTTGTGGTTTCATAAACCACAAACAGATCTAGAGTAAAGTGGCGTCTGCGGACAGATGTAGCAAAAAAAAATCGGAAGTGCCGATTTCCATTGAGCGCCATTCAGTAACCGTTTCACATAGAAACAAACCGAAAGTACCGTCTTACTCCGCATTCTTTCTAGTTTAATCACGTCTGATTCATTTTGTATTCATACGCATAGCACTGAATGTATTAACATTTTCAGTGGCGAGACTCTGTGCGGACTCTAAGTGCACTTTTTTTTTTACATTTTATTTTCTGTGCGGATACTTGCTCCTTATGCGGACAAGGCATATTTTGTTCATTTTGTTTCTATTTAAATGATTGAAATAAACTTGTTACATACATAAATAGTGTTGTTGATTGTTTTATATATTAATATATTGGAAAACAAAAAATATGAAGAAATATGAAATAAGTTTTAATTAAATTAAAGTGATGCCTGAAAGAAACTCAGGACCCAGTTGAGATTTTATTTCACTTTTTGCTTAGTAGACACGTTTGATGATCAAAAATATTTTTAAAACCTAAAAACATTACTAAAAACTTATAGATCTAGATTTAGACTTTAAATATAAATCTGGAGTATCAAGGTTAGTTCAAAGCTCCTTTTTACTTAAAGTGTAAGAAATATACTCTGATTTTTCATTAGTGTCCGCAAAAGGTTAACCCTCAAAAAAGGTATATCCCTTATGCGGACACCCCAATTTTTCCTCTAAGATGGCTTAAACAACCTTAACTATGATATTTATAGCTTATATATATATATATATATATATATATATATATATATATATATATATATATATATATATATATATATATATATATATATATATATATATATATAAGCTAGATCTAAATTCATGTCATTCATGTCATTCATGTCATTCTTGTCATTCATCCAACAGTTGCTGGTCCAACAGTGAAGCAGGTCGTCCTGTAAGTTTGTCTGGCACCTCAACTCGATGTATCACCACCACTGCTGTGAGGTGTCACCACCAGAACTGCGACGTGTCACCACAACAACTGTGACGTGTCACCATCAGAACTGTGTCACCACTAGAACTGTGACGTGTCACCACTAGAACTGTGTCGTGTCACCTTCAGAATTGTGACGTGTCACCTTCAGAACTGTGACGTGTCACCTTCAGAACTGTGACGTGTCACCACCACAACTGTAACGTGTCACCACCAGAAGTGTGTCATCACCAAAACTGTGACGTGTCACCACCAATCTGTGACGAGTCACCACCAGAATTGTGACGTGTCACCACCAAATCTCTGACGTGTCATCACCAGAACTGTGACGTGTCACCATCACAACTGTGACGTGTCACCATCACAACTGTGACGTGTCACCACTACAACTGTGACGAGTCACCACCAGAATTGTGACGTGTCACCACCAAAACTCTGACGTGTCACCACCGCAACTGTGACGCGTCACCACCAGAAGTGTGTCACCACCAAAACTTTTTACGTGTCACCATCAGGTTGCTGTCTGTCATGTCACATGCGTCATCTGAGCCGACTCAGGTCACGAACGTCAGCGATGAAACCACTGTGACGTCAGTGTACTCCGCCCCGGAGAGCGATGCGGGCAGCGCCACTGGCTTCACGTCCAGGTAAAAACTGTTCACATGACCTGTTACGTCACTATCATGTAGTGGTGTAGGTCTAGCTTTACTTAACACTGTGTATATCTAATAGGGGACAGCACTCCTCAATTTTTCCATACAAAGGGCGCGTTACTCCCATAGGTGAGCGATTTTCTCTGGGATATTATTTGGTGAGACCAAATCTGCATCGATTGAGAAAACTTTCTATCTACCAAAAGCGTTATTTTAGATGCACCAGGTACATAATATTAGGGAGCATTAACATCTTGTATCTATCCATATTATGAAAGTCAAATGTAGTGTTGAACAAAATGTTCACATTACACTTAACTTGATCTAAAGTTTAAAAAATTCACGTCATCCTACCATCACCTTCCATCACCTTCCATCACCTTCCATCACCTTCCATCACCTCCCATCACCTTCCATCACCTCCCATCACCTCCCATCACCCCCATCACCTTCCATCACCTTCCATCACCTTCCATCACCTCCCATCACCCCCATCACCTTCCATCACCTTCCATCACCCCCATCACCCCCATTACCTTCCATCACCTCCCATCACCCCCATCACCCCCATCACCCTCCATCACCTCCCATCACCCCATCACCTCCCATCACCCTCCATCACCTTCCATCACCTTCCATCACCTTCCATCACCTCCCATCACCCCCATCACCTTCCATCACCTCCCATCACCCCATCACCCTCCATCACCTTCCATCACCTTCCATCACCTTCCATCACCTTCCATCACCTCCCATCACCCCCATCACCTTCCATCACCTCCCATCACCTTCCATCACCTCCCATCACCTTCCATCACCTTCCATCACCCCCATCACCTTCCATCACCTCCCATCACCTTCCATCACCTCCCATCACCCCATCACCCTCCATCACCTTCCATCACCTTCCATCACCTTCCATCACCTTCCATCACCTCCCATCACCCCCATCACCTTCCATCACCTCCCATCACCTTCCATCACCTCCCATCACCTTCCATCACCCCCATCACCTCCCATCACCCCCATCACCCTCCATCACCTCCCATCACCTTCCATCACCTTCCATCACCTTCCATCACCTTCCATCACCTTCCACCACCATCACCTACCATCACCTTCCATCACCTCCCATCACCTTCCATCACCTTCCACCACCATCACCTTCCATCACCTTCCATCACCTTCCATCACCCAGAGTTTCTTCCAGGCATCTCTTCGGGGGGGCGAAGCCCCCCCGAAAAATTTTTACCGCCCCCCCGAACGAAATGAAATTTATATAATTTATATAGAAAATATATACTTTTAACAGTGTCCGCCCCCCCGAAGAAAGTTTACCGCCCCCCCCCGAAGATTTCAAGTGCCCCCCCGGAGAAAAAAGTCTGGAAGAAACACTGCCATCACCTTCCATCACCTCCCATCACCTTCCATCACCTTCCACCACCATCACCTCCCATCACCTTCCATCACCTCCCATCACCTTCCATCACCTTCCACCACCATCACCCCCATCACCTTCCATCACCTCCCATCACCCCCATCACCTTCCATCACCTCCCATCACCTTCCATCACCTTCCATCACCTTCCATCACCTTCCATCACCTTCCATCACCTTCCATCACCTCCCATCACCTTCCATCACCTTCCATCACCTTCCATCACCTTCCATCACCTTCCATCACCTTCCATCACCTCCCATCACCTTCCATCTCAATAGTTCCAACAACAATTAACTCCGCAGCAAACAGAAAAGGCTGTTGAAGTCGTGGGCTAAAATGAAGGGCAAAACAAAAGAGCAACTCTATGCCCTGGGCATGAACTTGGTGCTATGGTAATGTTTCTTTAGGGTATAGAGTCTAGGTGGTGCTATGGTAATGTTTCTTTAGGGTATAGAGTCTAGGTGGTGCTATGGTAATGTTTCTTTAGGGTACTGTATAGAATCTAGGTGGTGCTATGGTAATGTTTCTTTAGGGTATAGAGTCTAGGTGGTGCTATGGTAATGTTTCTTTAGGGTACTGTATAGAATCTAGGTGGTGCTATGGTAATGTTTCTTTAGGGTACTGTATAGAGTCTAGGTGGTGCTATGGTAATTTTTCTTTAGGGTATAGAGTCTAGGTGGTGCTATGGTAATGTTTCTTTAGGGTATAGAGTCTAGGTCAAAACATTCTGTTTTTGTCATAAAATTGGTGCTTTGGTAATTTTACTTTCGTGTAATGTCTATGTCTGATCATTGTTTTAATGTCCTAGTTAAGCTTATAGCGATTTTTTTGTACTGCTATACTGACATGAACCTCTAGAGTGCTGGTGGTTGGTAGTTGAATCTTATAGCGATGTGTTTTTAAAAAAAACTATAACTTGAAGCTATTCCAACACGAACCCCCTTAGGATGCTGGTGGTGGGTAGTTGAATCTTATAGCGATGTGTTTTTTGTTTTAAAACTATAACTTGAAGCTATACCAACATGAACACCCTTAGGATGCTGGTGGAGGTGCCTGATATCAAGATGTTGTTCCGTAAATTCAACGCCCACAAGAAGCAGGTGGAGCTTAAGGCGGACCAGGTGTTCGTTGACCACACCGTCCTGCTGATCAAGCTACTGGACGAGCTCGTGACAAACCTGCCCGACACAGAGAAGTTCAACCTGATCGTCAAAAGGATGTGCGAGTTCCATCTCAACATCACGCCACACGCTGGGAGCGTTTATTTTGAGGTGGGTCTGTCTTAGACTGTCTTGTTTTACTCAAAGTCTTAGACTGTCTTGTTTTACTCAAAGTCTTAGACTGTCTTGTTTTACTCAAAGTCTTAGACTGTCTTGTTTTACTCAAAGTCTTAGACTCTCTCGTCTACAGAGGTTTAATTAAGCCTTAATTAGTAGATCATACATGACAATGTCATTTAATGCATGTCAGACTTAGCAGTTGTGTGGTGGTTGAAATGTATAGAAAAGAGAATCTATACTTGTAAGGATATTTCCGACTTGGAAGGATATTTCCGACTTGTAAGGATATTACTGATTTATAAGGATATACCTTGCTTTTAAAGATATTCCCTACACGTATGTATATTTCTTGTAAGGATATTGATGTAATTTTTAACTTGTTAGGAAAACCTTGGACAAAGTCGACTCATTAAGTCAATTTTTGTGTTTACCAGTGTAAGTGCCATAATATTTTCATACACGCTCATCACATTTTCAGATTACTTAGACACTTTAGTTTATTTAAAACTATTTAAATTCCAGCCATTTCGCGACAAGTTCCACTTGTTTCTCAGACACTACCCTGACCTTGAAGCAGACGACGAAGACATCGAACTGTGGACGGAGTTCTTCAACGTCATCTGCCAGATAATCAAGGCTGAGGAGGCCAAGTTGGCGCCACCAAAGGAGAAGTCAAAATTTGGATGTTGTGTTACATTATAGTCGTCTGCTTAGTGCTGTGTCACATTTATCACCGTCTGCGTGGTGGTGACACTCTGCAGTGCTGCGTGCAAGATGGAAAATGGCTGATGGGAAATGGCAGGGGGAAAAGCATCATGTTTTTAAGTTTAAACACGACTTAAAACTTCTGCTTACAAACCGTGTTTACCTGAATAAGTCTGCAAAAGGTTGAAGAAAATTACGAGAAAATGACTGTCTATAACCTCAGGCCTATCGGACTAGTTGAGTTTGTGTCGCAACTTTCTGAACGTGGGCAGCTACTCTACATATTGGTCTACATTTGGCAACCACTCTAGGTGTACAATAAGCAGCGTTCGATGTAAAACAAAGTCCTGTTAAAGTACCATCAGATAAGCAGCGCTTGATGTAAACGCCAACCTGTTCGAAAAATGAATCATGAAGTATAGTTTTTAAAAATCCAAAATAATGCTGTTCATTTTGTCAGCGATAGAATAAAACATTTAAACTTCACCAATTTCTCTAAACCGTCGTTCGGGAAACTCCGCTAGAACGAGTCAACACCACAAGTACATGAAGAGATGCGACAAGATGGCCGCTGATTATCTACGATGGCTGCAACAAAAATACTTTTCCAAGCTGAATATTGCTATACATTCGTAGACAAGACTTAATTCAATCTGTTGTTTGTATGCTACGTTCTGGGCCATTGCCCATACAATCCAGTCACCAATGAAGCATGTAACTTGTTGATTTCACGAGCAAGCATCAATCCTAGCTACAATACCGTGACAATACGAGTTTGCTCTTAAATTCTAAAAGCTTGAGTAAGTGACACGTGACCATGCCGTCCAGCAGGCTTGTCTAGCTCCAGCCATCTGGTATCTTGCTGGCTGTGATGTCAGATGTATCTTCCGACCAATCAGAAGCCGAGACGGCAGAAGGAAGTGACGCAACTGAGGCCACGACTGCCGAGTCAAGCCAGGCAAGTGAGAAGTGCATCGTCACAGGTTTCACCGCCAAGTAGGTGCTTTGTTGTCTTGGTGCTTTGTTGTGTTGGAGCTTTGTTGTCTTGGTGCTTTGTTGTTTGTTGCATTGTTGTGTTGTTGCTTTGTTGTCTTGGTGCTTTGTTGTGTTGGAGCTTTGTTGTCTTGGTGCTTTGTTGTCTTGGTGCTTTGTTGTCTTGGTGCTTTGTTGTCTTGGTGCTTTGTTGTCTTGGTGCTTTGTTGTCTTGGTGCTTTGTTGTCTTGGTGCTTTGTTGTCTTGGTGCTTTGTTGTCTTGGTGCTTTGTTGTCTTGGTGCTTTGTTGTGTTGGTGCTTTGTTGTGTTTGTGCTTTGTTGTGTTGGTGCTTTGTTGTCTTGGTGCTTTGTTGTCTTGGTGCTTTGTTGTGCTGGAGCTTTGTTGTGTTGGTGCTTTGTTGTGTTGGTGCTTTGTTGTCTTGGTGCTTTGTTGTCTTGGTGCTTTGTTGTGTTGGTGCTTTGTTGTGTTGGTGCTTTGTTGTGTTGGTGCTTTGTTGTGTTGGTGCTTTGTTGTGTTGGTGCTTTGTTGTCTTGGTGCTTTGTTGTCTTGGTGCTTTGTTGTCTTGGTGCTTTGTTGTGTTGGTGCTTTGTTGTCTTGGTGCTTTGTTGTGTTGGTGCTTTGTTGTGTTGGTGCTTCGTTGTGTTGGTGCTTTGTTGTGTTGGTGCTTCGTTGTGTTGGTGCTTTGTTGTGTTGGTGCTTTGTTGTGTTGGTGCTTTGTTGTGTTGGTGCTTTGTTGTCTTGGTGCTTTGTTGTCTTGGTGCTTTGTTGTGTTGGTGCTTTGTTGTCTTGGTGCTTTGTTGTGTTGGTGCTTTGTTGTCTTGGTGCTTTGTTGTGTTGGTGCTTTGTTGTGTTGGTGCTTTGTTGTGTTGGTGCTTTGTTGTCTTGGTGCTTTGTTGTCTTGGTGCTTTGTTGTGTTGGTGCTTTGTTGTCTTGGTGCTTTGTTGTCTTGGTGCTTTGTTGTGTTGGTGCTTTGTTGTGTTGGTGCTTTGTTGTGTTGGTGCTTTGTTGTGTTGGTGCTTTGTTGTCTTGGTGCTTTGTTGTGTTGGTGCTTTGTTGTGTTGGTGCTTTGTTGTCTTGGTGCTTTGTTGTTTGTTGCTTTGTTGTGTTGGTGCTTTGTTGTGTTGGTGCTTTGTTGTGTTGGTGCTTCGTTGTGTTGGCACTTAATAGTGTTGTAACCGCGTGGTCAAATAGTAGCGCGTTCGGCGACTGATCCGAAAGTTTTCATTTCTGATTGCGGGATCGGGTCCGTAGGAAGCTCATGAGGTCACCCAGCTCTGATGGGGACTTGATTCACACATGACAACATTATCCATACATATACTGAGGTCACCCAGGGACTTGATTCACACATGACAACATTATCCATACATATACTGAGGTCACCCAGGGACTTGATTCACACATGACAACATTATCCATACATATACTGAGGTCACCCAGGGACTTGATTCACACATGACAACATTATCCATACATATACTGAGGTCACCCAGGGACTTGATTCACACATGACAACATTATCCATACATATACTGAGGTCACCCAGGGACTTGATTCACACATGACAACATTATCCATACATATACTGAGGTCACCCAGGGACTTGATTCACACATGACAACATTATCCATACATATACTGAGGTCACCCAGGGACTTGATTCACACATGACAACATTATCCATACATATACTGAGGTCACCCAGGGACTTGATTCACACATGACAACATTATCCATACATATACTGAGGTCACCCAGGGACTTGATTCACACATGACAACATTATCCATACATATACTGAGGTCACCCAGGGACTTGATTCACACATGACAACATTATCCATACATATACTGAGGTCACCCAGGGACTTGATTCACACATGACAACATTATCCATACATATACTGAGGTCACCCAGGGACTTGATTCACACATGACAACATTATCCATACATATACTGAGGTCACCCAGGGACTTGATTCACACATGACAACATTATCCATACATATACTGAGGTCACCCAGGGACTTGATTCACACATGACAACATTATCCATACATATACTGAGGTCACCCAGGGACTTGATTCACACATGACAACATTATCCATACATATACTGAGGTCACCCAGGGACTTGATTCACACATGACAACATTATCCATACATATACTGAGGTCACCCAGGGACTTGATTCACACATGACAACATTATCCATACATATACTGAGGTCACCCAGGGACTTGATTCACACATGACAACATTATCCATACATATACTGAGGTCACCCAGGGACTTGATTCACACATGACAACATTATCCATACATATGCTGAGGTCACTGAAATAGGTGAATTCTACTTCACCAGACCCTTTGACCGTGGTACGCTAAGTCTTTGAATTTACATTTTTCACTTTTGATCTATCTCTTCTAAGATAAAACTACTATTTTTTAACCATAGTTAAAGGATGTTAATGATATCTGTGCAACAAGGTTGTGTTCATCAACATTGAATCTCAGTAGAATGTGTGTAATAAAGTCTTGGAGTAAAATGAAAGGAGGAACACAGGTACAGCTTCACTCTCTGGGACTAAGCCTGGTGCTATGGTAACGGTGCTTGTTTTATTTACTCAGACATTGTTTTACTACACTATTGGAGAATAGTGCTGTCATTATGGCTGTCATTATGGTTGTGTCATTATGGCTATGTCATTATGATGTGGGGTGTGTCTTAAAGAAATGGATGTAAACAAAGACCGTTGATCTGATCAACTTTCTGATTCTCATGGCCTCAAGCAATGGCGCTGTTAACTTACTTTCTCAGTGTTGGGGTTTTCACCAGTTTATTTTTTAATATATATATATATACGTGTATATATACACACATATATATATATATATGTATATACTGATTTGAAAAATAAACTGTTGAAAACCCTAACACTGAGAAAGTTTAACGCCTACCTGTCTGTTTGTTTATTTATTTGTTTGTCTGTGTGTCTTAGGATGATGGTAGAGGTGACAGAGATGAAGAAACTGTTCCACAAGTTTAACGCCTACCTGTTTGTTTGTCTGTGTGTCTGTGTGTCTTAGGATGATGGTAGAGGTGCCAGAGATGAAGAAACTGTTCCACAAGTTTAACGCCTACCTGTCTGTTTGTCTGTGTGTCTGTGTGTCTTAGGATGATGGTAGAGGTGCCAGAGATGAAGAAACTGTTCCACAAGTTTAACGCCTACCTGTTTGTTTGTCTGTGTGTCTGTGTGTCTTAGGATGATGGTAGAGGTGCCAGAGATGAAGAAACTGTTCCACAAGTTTTTAACGCCTACCTGTCTGTTTGTGTGTCTGTCTGTGTGTCTTAGGATGATGGTAGAGGTGCCAGAGATGAAGAAGCTGTTCCACAAGTTTAACGCCTACATGAAGGAGGAGGAGCTCCAGAGCGACCAGGTGTTCGTCAACCACACCATCGGCCTGATCAAACAGCTGGACGATCTCATCAGTCTGTTGCCCGACCCCGGGAACTTCACCCTCCTCGCCACCAGCTTCTGCTCCTTCCACGTTCGCATCAAACCCTCCGTGGGGACCAAATACTTCGAGGTGAGACCCAGAGACGGTCTTGTTCCGTGAGACCCAGAGACGGTCTTGTTTCGTGAGACCCAGAGACAGTCTTGTTTCGTGAGACCCAGAGACAGTCTTGTTTCGTGAGACCCAGAGACAGTCTTGTTCCGTGAGACACCTAGACAGTCTCGTTCCGTGAGACCCAGAGACGGTCTTGTTTCGTGAGACCCAGAGACAGTCTTGGTCCTTGAGACACCTAGACAGTCTTGTTCCGTGAGTCCCAGAGACGGTCTTGTTCCGTGAGACACCTAGACAGTCTTGGTCCTTGAGACCCAGAGACAGTCTTGGTCCTTGAGACCCAGAGACAGTCTTGGTCCTTGAGACCCAGAGACAGTCTTGGTCCTTGAGACCCAGAGACAGTCTTGGTCCTTGAGACCCAGAGACAGTCTTGGTCCTTGAGACCCAGAGACTTAAGATTTGGTCGGTGTAAAAGTTTGTTATGCTTCAAAGTCGGAGTCTGTCTTGTCTCAAGTATCTGGAGAAGGAGTCTTCTCTAAAGTGTCTGGAGACAGTTAGTCTTGTCTGCAGTTTGCGTGTTAAACCTATCTTTTGTTTATATATATATACATACATATATATATATATATATATATATATATATATATATATATATATATATATATATATATATATATATATATATATATATATATATAGTCATGTTAAAAAAAATTTACGTGACACTTAAAACCTTGTTTGTTTTTGTGCCAGCCGTTTCGAGACAAGTTCCACTTGTTTCTCAGACACTACCCTGGCCTTGAGGCAGACGACGAAGACATCGAACTGTGGACGGAGTTCTTCAACGTCATCTGCCAGATCGTCAAGTCTGAGGAGGCCAAGGTGCCTCCCTCGGAGAAGGTCTCGGACAAGGGATGTTGCGTCACATTGTGACCGTCAGTTGGGGGAGACGGGATGGGGCTTGAACGTGCATGGGATTGCTTTATGGGAACTGACGATGGGAAACTGGCGCTGGGAAACTGATGCTGGGAAACTGACGATGGGAAACTGGCGCTGGGAAATGGCTGGGAAATGAAAGTTTTTACCACTGCCGACCGGGACTGCGTGACGTGAAACATGGGAGAAATCGAAATGTTACCGACACCATCAGAGTTCTGACGTTGGTCAGGTACCTGCTTGATATTTTATTGTGCTGGTTTCAAGGTGACCTAACTAAGGTCTAGCTCTCGGAGCTCAGCTGTATACAGATCACCTAACTGGTTAGCTCTCGGAGCTTAGCTGTATGCTAATCACCTAATTCTTGTCTAGCTCTCGGAGCTGAGCTGTCTGATGTAACTGTTATTTAAAGACGATATTTCTCGCTTTACTGCAAGAAACGTGATGGTCTCAGATAAATGTGTAGTAATGTAATGTTATTTTACAGGGTGTGTAGCTACTGTCTGAGTGTGTTGGTTTGTGAATGCCCTGATACCTCACAGTGTGGTGTTAATGTGATTGAAGTGTGTATAAGGGCGATATGTGTGGGGGAGTAGTGTGTGAAGTGCTGTGAGGGTGGAATAATGTAAGTGAACAAAGTTCTGCCGTTGATTTTAGAATAACGTATTCAATAAACTTGTATATCAAAGCTATTTTTTTATAACAATTCTGTAAATGTTTCTTGTATTGTACATTGGCAGTAAACTTTATGAAGGCCTAAAGGTGTTTGTCCAACTTAAAATGTAAATACTGACTCCCCACTGGGATTCGCGCCAACATAAGTCCAGTGTTGACCCAGTGCTTTGCTTGAGTGGGCCGAATACGTTTTGTTTTGATCCTCCATTGGCAACAGCAGACTGTTAAAATATTTTAAAACATTGCTGGTTCACAACATAAATAAGGAAGATACGTCATTTACAAACGCCCAGCAAAGCTATTTTTAAAGTCTTCTATAGCATAAACAAAAAGCGTTTAAAACCAACCTTCTTTGTAAGTTTTTATACGTCATGTCTTTACTTAAGGCTTAACGATGTTTTATGTACGTCAGGGGTCGTAACTTGTACGTAACTTGTACGTCAGGTGTCGTAACTTGTACGTCAGGGGTCGTAACTTGTACATCAGGGGTCCCGACTTGTACGTCAGGGGTCGTAACTTGTACGTCATGGGTCGTAACTTGTACGTCAGGGTTCGTAACTTGTACGTCAGGGGTCGTAACTTGTACGTCAGGGATCGTAACTTGTACGTCAGGGGTCGTAACTTGTACGTCATGGGTCGTAACTTGTACATCAGGGATCGTAACTTGTACCTCAGGGGTCGTAACTTGTACCTCAGGGATCGTAACTTGTAAGTCAGGGGTCGTAACTTGTACATCAGGGGTCGTAACTTGTACATCAGGGGTCGTAACTTGTACATCAGGGGTCGTAACTTGTACATCAGGGATCGTAACTTGTACATCAGGGGTCGTTACTTGCGTACGAAATTGCTTCACCTACTTTCAAACTTTAAAATGAAACTAGCATAAAAAAACACTTAAAAACACTTTCTAATAATAAGCTTTTAAATGCACTGAAAATAAGAAAATAAATCTAATATGCTCTCTTTATTTAAAATAAATGAAATCTAGAAATCATATTGATGACTAAAGTCTAATATTAAAAATAGATGTTCTTGCAATTTTATCAAAGACTAACTTAAAAGCAAAGTGCATAAAATGTGTACGTTAGAAAAAGTTCAAAACGGATTTAAAAGATCTATCACAAATCCATAAACATACACATAAACATACATAGTAGACATTTTAAAAATAAACGTATAAATAAGTGGGGCTCAAAGTTGCATTATTTTGAAAAAAAATTAGGAGTCATTAATTTTAAAAAGTACTTTTGGGGCGTTGCTTCAGAAAACATACACAATTTATGCACAAATGTTAGAAAATAAAATAATGTTCATTGTTTACAAAACAATGCAGCAAAACTATTTACATAATTATAAAGAAAAGTGTAGATCGTTGATACAATGTAAAATGGGTATTTGGTTGCAAACGAATATTAATTCTATCCATTTTTAGAACTATGTCAGTACCGGCGTATATATATATATATATATATATATATATATATATATATATATATATATATATATATATATATATATATATATATATATATATATATATATATATATATATATATATGTAGCTAGGGTGGGCCTAACTACTAGTTACAAATCTGATAACGAACGAGAAGCCGAGACGCAGTATTGCAGTCTGACGCAACATAACAGGTGGCTTATTGGGTCGGGCTGATAACAATCTCAAAGCCAACGCGTGCTATTTTGGGAGACGGTACGAGGAGTGAGACGGCCTGTCAACTTTGATTGATAGGACGCAGATGTTATTCCACGGACTGTATGTTAGAACTACGCAACTAGTGGTCGGAGACATCGAGTACAAGTATCGATTACGGAGGAATACAAGTACGGAGACGAGTACGGATACAAGGCATAAATAGGAGGGGACGACTGAACTCGTTCTCTTCCGTCGTCGTCGCTTGCTTTAGATCAGTCAGTCTGTGTGACATACTCAAGTTGGTTATATTGTGTTAAGAAGGACAATAGACATGTGGATTCAGTTATATGAAGCCTAGTGAGGACTGTTAGGGGGTCAGTTGATTCAGACTATTATTGTGAAACATTTCTGTTGATTCATTGTGTTATATTGAAACATTTCTTGATTCATGTAATAAAAGGATCAATAGCGAACCTGCATCTTCGAGTCTTTCTACTGTAGTCGATGTTGTGTAGCATGAGTGGTTCAACTCGTTACAATTGGCGTTGTCGGGCAGGATAGACTCGGGAAAGGTCACATTTGGCGTTGCGAACAGGATAGATGCAACTAGCCTAGGTCACATTTGGCGCTGCGAGCAGGATGAATTCAACTAGACTTGCCGGTTGAGGCACCCATAGTCAACCTTGTGCATAACTGTGTTTTGTGTGTATGTGAATTCGGACATTCAGGAACTGTGAAAATCGAGGAAAATTTTTTCATATACACACGGTAAGAAAGAACTCTTTTGTTTTACTTACGGAATAAAATGTCTACTCTGGACGAGAAGCAGACCCATATAGTGGTCCTACCCAGAGAGTCCCACATTAACAAATTTTACGGGGACGGGGATCCCACTTTAACCAACAGGTTCAGTGAAGAGGTCAAAGCGGCCTGGGCCTCGAGAGGCATGTCACCAGAGGAAAGATTAAGACTGCTGATGGGCAGCATAGGAGAGACGGTTAGGGCAGAGGTCAAATGCCACGATAAAACCATCCAATCAGATCCAGATAAGGTGCTGGATCTGATTATGGAGACCTTTGGGGAGAGACGGTCGGGATCGCAACTGCTAGCAGGGTTCGTAGGCTTGAGGCAGAGATTGACGGAGAGTGTGATGGAGTACTCACACCGGATGAATAGGGCCTTTGATTCGGTAAAGGTCAAAACACCGGACATTGATGTACGCCTACTGAGGGACCATTTCATTGAGGGGCTGGCAACCCCGATCCTAAGAAGAGAGTTGAAAGAGGAGGTCCACAAAGACCCGCAGTTGACCTTCCTTCAGGTCAGGAACTCAGCGATCCGCAGGTCCGAGGATGAGGACCAATCGAACTGTTCGGTGGACAAAGTCTCTGTGCCTGAACAGAGACAATCCCCACCCACAGGGGCCGACACGATGGAGACCATGATGGCTCAACTGTTGGCCCACCTAGATAAGGTTGACCAACGTTTGGAGAGGTTAGAAAGCAGGTCAACAGCTGAGAATCGGGAAAAGAACGGGACAAAACAGGGACGGGTTGGACGGCCGCGTCCGGCCAAGCCATCACTCCAATGGACGGCCGACGGTCGACCAATTTGTTTGTCTTGTTCACAACCCGGACATATGGCACGGTACTGCCAGGGAAACGGTCGTCCTCTGTAAGGCAGGGCCAGGCTACAGAGGGGCGAGGGTATGGCCCAAGAAGCAAAATGATGGGAGTCTGTCCAGAAATGGTGATTACGATTGGGGACATCGCGGTGAAGGCAATTGTGGATACAGGCTCCCAGGTGACGACAATCACGGAAAATTTTTACACCAAATGGATGAAAGGAAAAGACCATAGGTTGAGGTCTGACACATGCATGCGCCTGACGGCAGCTAATGGACTAACCATTCCATACTGTGGTTATTTTCTGGCGGATGTCGTGGTGGCAGGACATAGGTTGAAGCAGGTTGGGGTGTTCGTTACGAAACACAACCTAGAGACAAATGTGTCAAATATACCTTGCCTGTTGGGCATGAATATTCTTGGCCAATTGCCAGAATTTCTTACAAATATTGTCGGATCGACCACACCAGGTCGGGGATCCAAGTTGGCCAGGTTTGCCAAGACCAGAGGAAGGACAGCAGTCCCGGCAAACACGGTCAAGGCAATCACATTACAAATTGGTGATAGAAGCGTGAATGGTGATGTGATGATAGAACCATGTGGCGCCGCACTGAGGGCAGGCGTCGTGTTACTGCGGACATACACATCAGCGGAAAATGGACTAGTTCAAGGACTAGTGGCAAATGTTTTGGATGAGGAAATTTTTATACCACCTAATACTCTGGTAGGAGTACCACAGAACGTCGAGGTACTAAGGTCGGCACAGTGTATCGAACTGAGCAATACCAGCAGTAATGAAGTAACAATTAGGTCGGTCAATGTGACGGCCGAGGTGAAGAAAGAGGATGGCCGATCATATACATTCCCGGAAACTGAGGACCCAAAACTAAATGAATTGCTGAATAAATACAGTGATATATTTGCCTCGTATGAGGGTGATTTGGGGTACACGGAAGTAATAAAACACCAGATACCCTTACTACAAGACAAGCCGGTGGCGCAACCTTATCGAAGATTACCACCGAGTCACTACTCTGCGGTGAAGGCACACCTGAACGATCTACTAAAAAAGGGAATTATTACAACCAGTACGAGCCCGTATGCGGCACCGATAGTAGTGGTAAAAAAAGAAGTCAGGGGAGATAAGACTGTGTTGTGATTACCGGAAATTGAACAATATCACAAGAAGGGATGCATTCCCCTTGCCTCGTATTGATGAATGTCTTGATGCGTTGGGGGGAGCAAGATTTTTTTCTACCTTGGATTTGGCTAGTGGCTACCACCAAGTGGCCATGCACCCCAACGATCAACATAAAACTGCATTTATTTCTCCACTGGGACTGTACGAGTAGACCCGTATGCCGTTTGGTCTAACTAATGCACCTGCTACATTCCAGCGAGTAATGCAGAGTGCTATGAGTGACTTTCTATTTCAAATAATGTTGGTGTATTTGGATGATATTCTAGTTTACTCAAAAACTTGGGAGGACCATCTAAAAAGATTAGAACAAGTGTTTCTCCGTCTTAGGGAGATAGGAGTAAAGCTGAACCCAGACAAATGCTGCTTTGGTTTGAAATCGGTACATTTTTTGGGTTACGTGATTTCGTCGGATGGCATCGCCACTGACCCAGATAAAATTGCAGCTGTTAAAGAATGGAAACAACCAACAACCACGGTAGAGGTCAGATCATTCTTGGGCTTTGCTTCCTATTATAGAAAATTTGTGCCTGGTTTTGCAAAAATTGCCGCACCATTGCATGACTTGGTAAACAAAATGACAAAGAAACACAGTAAGGAGAAAAAGAAAGGTAAAACACAACGGATAGGTGAATTATGGACTGATGAATGCCTGAACTCGTTTAAGCTATTGAAAAAGGCTTTAACAGAGGCGCCGATATTAGGATACGCAGACTTTGACAAACCATTTCGGCTAGAAATTGACGCCAGCTCTAAAGGTCTGGGAGCTGTGCTATCACAACAACAAAAGCAAGGTTTCAGGGTTATTGCGTATGCCAGTCGAGCTCTGAAGGAATCAGAGAAGAACATGACAAATTACAGCGCCATGAAACTAGAACTTTTGACATTAAAATGGGCTGTGACGGAAAAATTCAGGGACTATTTATTAGGTGCTAAATGTGTGGTATACACTGACAATAACCCCTTGAGTCACCTAAAGACAGCAAAGTTGGGATCCATCGAACAGCGATGGGCAGCAGAATTGGCACTCTTTGACCTAGAGATAAAATATCGCCCGGGGCGGTCCAATGGCAATGCGGACGCCTTATCAAGGAATCCTTACGAGAGACCGGGCGATGAGGAAGAAACGCTGACAGGAATATGTGAGGTCAGAGCGTCAACAGATATCCCTCACGGGGTGCAAGTGAGGCAGAACGGACAGACCGGGGTGGAGCACATTTCCACAGAGCCCGGACATATGGACATTGGTGATTTTAGTTGCCTTAATCACAAAGAAATAAGAAATGCCCAGAGAACGGATAGTGGCTTACAGCCGCTGTTGAAACACGTCCAGGAACAAAAATTCCCAGGAAGAAGGGAAAGAGAACAATTTGGTCGAGAAACAAAGAAAATACTGAGTCAGTGGGACCGTCTCAGTATAGAGGATGGTGTTCTCATGCGGAGAATTCATGACCAAATTGATGGGACAATACACCAGGTGGTGGTGCCTGGACAGTTACGAGAAGAAGTGCTAAGGTTGGCACATGACAGGGCAGGACACCAGGGTCAGGACAGGACGCACAAAATATTACGACGGAGGTGTTACTGGCCCAATATGGAAATGGAGGTCAAACGCCATTGTGAGGCTTGTGTGAGGTGTCAGCATGCGAAAATGCCAGTTGTCAAATTGAGACAGCCATCAGGACACCTACTAGCGACAAAACCACTAGAGATTGTGGCTGTGGACTTTACGTCGTTGGAGCAATCATCGGATGGGACGGAACATGTGTTGGTAATGACTGATGTATTCACCAAATGGACGGTGGCGGTGCCCACGCGAGATCAGACTGCCAAAACAGTGGCAAAGGTCTTAATAGAACATTGGTTCATCAAATATGGCATACCAAGACAATTACACTCTGACCAAGGAAGGGCTTTCGAGTCAGAAGTAATTAACCAACTGTGCAGCCACTACGGGATCAACAAATCTAGAACAACCACATTTAATCCGAAAGGAAACGGACAGTGTGAACGGTTCAACCGCAGCATGCATGATTTGCTGCGTACGCTAGAACCTGAACAGAAAAAACGTTGGCCTGATTTTCTCCCAGAGTTGGTATATCTATACAACTGCACACCCCATGCCACAACCGGCTTTACGCCATACATGTTGCTGTTCGGACGGGAGGCTCGACTCCCTCTTGATTTGTTCCTAGGAAAAAAGGAGAGTATGACTGGCTCATACACCGCGCTGGAATATGTGAATGAACATATGAGAAGAATTAGAGAAATGTACAGGGTAGTACAGGAAAGACTAGAACATGAAGCACGGCGAAGGGAACCGCCGGTACAGACAAAGGACCCGCCACTCAAACTGAATGACAGGGTATTACTGCGTAGCCACCCGTTAGGCAGAAACAAAATCCACGATCTCTGGGGACAGGAGATATGGCAAGTCGTGGAGATGCCTAAAGTAGCAGGTTGCCCCTTTAAGATAAGACCCATCGATCACGCCAAACCGGATCGGTGGGCGAATATTGCTCAATTAAAGAAATATTGGAATAGGCAAGAAGAGCAGTTACACACAAGGAAATCCAAGACAATTAGGGAACCGGAAACTATAACGGAAATTCACATACCCATCCCGGAACCATATCACCATCATCAGAACAACCGCGATACACAAGTGGAGGATAACGGCAACAAAGAGGATCCCGTTCCTTCCAGAAGCAGAGAGACAGTAGACCATCAGATAAGTGGTCCGCGGAGAAGTTTGAGGAACAGAAGGAAGACGAAATTTTTTGTCAGCAACCATCAAGTCTTTCATGGTCGCGCTGGTATGAGAACAGACTGTTCAAAAAGCTATAAAAGTGAACTGGTGAAGGCACCAAACGAAAAGGGTGGATGTGAATTCTAGAACTGTTTTGTGTCTCAGGAAGATGATGTAGACACAGTTGATATGTGAAATAGGTATAACTGTCAATCGTATACGAATGAGACGTCGTGGACAGTGAGTGGAACAATAATATTTTTTTACGATTATGCGATTGACTTTGGAGGAGTGCACCTGCCAAGCGTTGTTTGTGGTTGAAAACACACAAAAAAAGGCAGGGGTGGATGTAGCTAGGGTGGGCCTAACTACTAGTTACAAATCTGATAACGAACGAGAAGCCGAGACGCAGTATTGCAGTCTGACGCAACATAACAGGTGGCTTATTGGGTCGGGCTGATAACAATCTCAAAGCCAACGCGTGCTATTTTGGGAGACGGTACGAGGAGTGAGACGGCCTGTCAACTTTGATTGATAGGACGCAGATGTTATTCCACGGACTGTATGTTAGAACTACGCAACTAGTGGTCGGAGACATCGAGTACAAGTATCGATTACGGAGGAATACAAGTACGGAGACGAGTACGGATACAAGGCATAAATAGGAGGGGACGACTGAACTCGTTCTCTTCCGTCGTCGTCGCTTGCTTTAGATCAGTCAGTCTGTGTGACATACTCAAGTTGGTTATATTGTGTTAAGAAGGACAATAGACATGTGGATTCAGTTATATGAAGCCTAGTGAGGACTGTTAGGGGGTCAGTTGATTCAGACTATTATTGTGAAACATTTCTGTTGATTCATTGTGTTATATTGAAACATTTCTTGATTCATGTAATAAAAGGATCAATAGCGAACCTGCATCTTCGAGTCTTTCTACTGTAGTCGATGTTGTGTAGCATGAGTGGTTCAACTCGTTACAATTGGCGTTGTCGGGCAGGATAGACTCGGGAAAGGTCACATTTGGCGTTGCGAACAGGATAGATGCAACTAGCCTAGGTCACATATATATATATATATATATATATATATAATGAGTATATAATGAGTATCTATATATATAATTCTCTTCTGGGAGACGCTAGAAAACAAGCTGTAAGCGCGCTCCCTACCACCCCACCTCTACATGGTCTGGTGAGCTGTGTTTCACGCTATATGTTTACATTCGTAGAGCCGGGTTTAGTGACGACTATTGGGGGCAGATAATTTAGTTTGAAACGATTTTAAACTTAGGGGAGGTAACTAAGAGGAGGCTGCTCTTTCACGGGGGCGGGGGGGGGGGTGTAGGGTAGGGAATGGGGGAAAGGAGGGTGGGGGTAGGGGTTGGGGTAAAGGAGGGTGGGGGTAGTATCGTTCTTAACGACCTACTGATAGTGTTTTAAAGCAAATATTTTCAGTGGCAGCATTGGTACTGACGAATTCACAATTTATGAATTACTGAAAAGTAGAAAATAAAACAACTAAATAGCGGCATATGATATGCCGCGGGTCGGCTCGTACTTAATTATTCGGCAAGTAACGTATGATTTACTTTTTTGTAGGTCTCTTTATATTTATATTTTTATAATGTAAATATCTATTATAAGGTCTTACGGTTTTCTAAAGCAGTTATTTAGAGGAAAATTATTAAATTTAAAGAAAATCATTTCATTTTCTTCTTTTTAGTTCATTAATAAAAGCTAGTTATTATTAAAGTTATAATGTTTTGCAAGTAGATCTAGATTAGGTCAAACACAATGAGCTATCATTTTGTTTGAATGTGCGCGCTGGCCAATTGTGCAAATAACCAGAAAATCTACACAGCTCCATCTAGCACCGTCTAGCATCATCTAGCACCAACTAAAATCGCACCAGATACAAAAGAAACAAACAATACGATCGCGAACTGAGACAACAGAAAAAGGTATGTCTTTATTGGGACCTTGAACCGTCATCTGTTCTTTCACTTGTCCTGTACATCAAGAATCGCCTCCACTCAATGTCTTCTGTTAAAGGCCTATTGTTAATTAATATTTCAGTGATTGGTTTTCTAAGAATAGAAATACTCACTTATTTGACTAAAGCAATATCGAGTTTAGAGATTATCGCCAATCTAAAGCTAGAATGTAGGCGGCCTAGTTTGATGAGTTGGGTTTGATAATTGTTTTTGACTTGGATAAAAAACTTGTTTTTTAAGCTTTTGCCATCAAAGCAGGCAGTTTAAAAAAACTGTTTAAAAAACCTAAGCCTAAAAGTAACTAAGAAATGTAATATTTTTATAATCAATGTTATAAAAGTTGCTAATCCAGAGAGTTTGAAAATAAATTTTTGAGTAGTTAAAGGCTAGATGTAAATTTCTATTTATTTTCACCAAGCCTACGTTGTAACTGGAAGTTTCACTTTCGTAAGACAAACATTGATTGGCTGTACATGAACTCCGTAATCAATATTCTGAAACCCCACTTCATAAAAAGCTCATAGTACTTTGTAATCAAAACTTTGACAATGCAATTTTTTTTAAATCATATTTTAAAATCATATATCCTAGTTCAGCCATTGTTGTTTACATTTTCTGTGATAAAAATTAAACAAATCAAAATTAAAACATCAAATACATTCAGTTTCAAAATAAAGTGCGTCAAAAATCAAAGTCTAGTTTTAATAATTATGTTCATTTAAATGACATGGCATAAAATGTTGAAAATGTTTGATACACCCTTTTGATACTATTCACGGCCCACTCAGTTGGATCCAGAGTCAAGAGAGCGGCATTAAATAAAGCAAGAATTGGAATTGAAGCTGGTGTATACTTTATAAAGCTGGTGTATACTTTATTCTTCCAAGTTTATTAAGTTGCTGTATACTTTATAAAGCTGGTGTATATTTAATAATGCTGATGTGTACTTTATAAAGATGGTGTATAGTTTATTCTCCAGAATTTATGAAGTTGGTGTATGCTTTATAAAGCTTATATATACTTTATTCTCCAGAGTTTATGAAGACGGTGATTATGTCCAGAGCACTGTAGTCTGGAGTCCGCGCATGACGGCCTGAGGTTTCCTAGATCACGTGACGCGGGAGAGGCCTCTCAGCATGGAGGAGCAGTCAGAGAACAGCGAGGACAAGGACAAGACCATAGAGGACGATTCCAACGATGATGAGCAGTGCATCGTCACAGGGCTCACCAAGAGGTTAGTGCATCCTCACAGGGCTCACCAAGAGGCCAGTGCATCGTCACAGGGCTCACCAAGATGTTAGTGCTGGTCTTAGTACAGCTGGGTAGGTACTGTCATCATACATCGTCACAGGGCTCACCAAGAGGTTAGTCCATCGTCACAGGGCTCACCAAGAGGTTAGTGCATCGTCACAGGGCTCACCAAGATGTTAGTGCTGGTCTTAGTACAGCTGGGTAGGTACTGTCATCATACATCGTCACAGGGCTCACCAAGAGGTCAGTGCATCGTCACAGGGCTCACCAAGAGGTCAGTGCATCGTCACAGGGCTCACCAAGAGGTTAGTACATCGTCACAGGGCTCACCAAGAGGTCAGTGCATCGTCACAGGGCTCACCAAGAGGTTAGTACTTGTGTTAGTACAGCTGTGGAGGTACTAAGAGCATACCTCTCCAGATAGTATCCTGACAACTCTCCAGATAGTATCCTGACATCTCTACAGGTACTTTCCTTACAGTAACGGCATAGCTCTGACAACGTTTATCACAAAAACTCAACTCGTCTACTATTAACCATCTACTCTATAAAGGATCCGTTCTATTTTACAGACAAAAGCAAGTCCTACTCAACTCATGGGCCAAACTAAAAGGCAACTCAGAGGAAGACGCCGACAATCTGGGCCTGGAACTGGTCTTGTGGTAAGTTTTTACAATCTCTTCATATCTATCTGTGCTCTTGTGGTAAGTTTTTACAATCTCTTCATATCTATCTGTGGTCTTGTGGTAAGTTTTTACAATCTCTTCATATCTATCTGTGGTCTTGTGGTAAGTTTTTACAATCTCTTCATATCTATCTGTGGTCTTGTGGTAAGGTTTTACAATCTCTTCATATCTATCTGTGGTCTTGTGGTAAGGTTTTACAATCTCTTCATATCTATCTGTGGTCTTGTGGTAAGGTTTTACAATCTCATCATATCTATCTGTGGTCTTGTGGTAAGTTTTTACAATCTCTTCATATCTATCTTATGGTAAGTTTTTACAATCTCTTCATATCTATCTGTGGTAAGTTTTTACAATCTCTTCATATCTATCTGTGGTCTTGTGGTAAGTTTTTACGATCTCTTTATATCTATCTGTGGTAAGTTTTTACAATCTCTTCATATCTATCTGTGGTAAGTTTTTACAATCTCTTCATATCTATCTGTGGTCTTGTGGTAAGTTTTTACAATCTCTTCATATCTATCTGTGGTAAGTTTTTACAATCTCTTCATATCTATCTGTGGTCTTGTGGTAAGTTTTTACAATCTCTTCATATCTATCTGTGGTCTTGTGGTAAGTTTTTACAATCTCTTCATATCTATCTGTGGTCTTGTGGTAAGTTTTTACAATCTCTTCATATCTATCTGTGGTCTTGTGGTAAGGTTTTACAATCTCTTCATATCTATCTGTGGTCTTGTGGTAAGGTTTTACAATCTCTTCATATCTATCTGTGGTCTTGTGGTAAGGTTTTACAATCTCATCATATCTATCTGTGGTCTTGTGGTAAGTTTTTACAATCTCTTCATATCTATCTTATGGTAAGTTTTTACAATCTCTTCATATCTATCTGTGGTAAGTTTTTACAATCTCTTCATATCTATCTGTGGTCTTGTGGTAAGTTTTTACGATCTCTTTATATCTATCTGTGGTAAGTTTTTACAATCTCTTCATATCTATCTGTGGTAAGTTTTTACAATCTCTTCATATCTATCTGTGGTCTTGTGGTAAGTTTTTACAATCTCTTCATATCTATCTGTGGTAAGTTTTTACAATCTCTTCATATCTATCTGTGGTCTTGTGGTAAGTTTTTACGATCTCTTTATATCTATCTGTGGTAAGTTTTTACAATCTCTTCATATCTATCTGTGGTAAGTTTTTACAATCTCTTCATATCTATCTGTGGTCTTGTGGTAAGTTTTTACAATCTCTTCATATCTATCTAATGGTAAGTTTTTACAGCTGGTAACAGTTTTCTTCATATCTATCTGTGGTCTTGTGGTAAGTTTTTACAATCTCTTCATATCTATCTGTGGTCTTGTCGTAAGTTTTACAATCCCTTTCATATTTACGGTTTTTGTGGTTATTTTCAACCAACCAAATTTTCTAACGACCATACCAATTTTTTTTAATGACATGTCCCAATTTTTTTAACCACCTTCCCAAATTTATTAGGACCGTCCCAATCTTTCTCACGACCGTCCCAAATTTTCCAACGACCGTCCGAAATTTTCCAACGACCGTCCAAAATTTTCCAACGACCCACATTTTTCTAAGACCTGTCCCAAATTTCCAGGATGCTGGAAGAAATTCCGCACATGCGAAAGTTGTTCCGGAAATTCAACGCTAAAAAGAACAACGCGGAGCTGTCCAAGGACCAGATGTTTGTGGCTCACACTAAGAAGGTCATCGGCAGTCTGGACACTGCCATGGGGGTCTTGACCAACTCCGACGAGTTCGCGCTGGTGGCGACAAGTGTCTGCGCGCTTCACGTCAATCTGAAACCTTCAGTGGGGTCCAAGTATTTCGATGTGAGTCGGTGGTCAGTGTGTTGTGGTGGTCAGTGTGTTGTGGTGGTCAGCGTGTTGTGGTGGTCAGTGTGTTGTGGTGGTCAGTGTGTTGTGATGGTCAGTCTGTTGTGGTGGTCAGTGTGTTGTGGTGGTCAGTGTGTTGTGGTGGTCAGTGTTTTATGGTGGTCTGTTGTGGTCAGTCTGTTGTGGTGGTCAGTGTGTTATGGTGGTCAATGTGTTGTGGTGGTCAGTGTGTTGTGGTGGTCAGTGTGTTGTGGTGTTCAGTGTGCTGTAATTGGTCAGTGTGTTGTGGTGGTCAGTGTGTTGTTGTGGTCTGTTGTGGTCAGTGTGTTGGGGTGGTCAGTGTGTTGTGGTGGTCAGTGTGTTGTGGTGGTCAGTGTGTTGTGGTGGTCAGTGTGTTGTGGTGGTCAGTGTGTTGTGGTGGTCAGTGTGTTGTGGTGGTCAGTGTGTTGTGGTGGTCAGTGTGTTGTGGTGGTCAGTGTGTTGTGGTGTTCTTTTGTGGTGGTCAGTGTGTTGTGGTGGTCTGTGTGTTGTGGTGGTCTGTTGTGGTCAGTGTGTTGTGGTGGCCTGTGTGTTGTGGTGGTCAGTGTGATGTGGTGGTCAGTGTGTTGTGGTGTTCTTTTGTGGTGGTCAGTGTGTTGTGGTGGTCTGTGTGTTGTGGTGGTCTGTTGTGGTCAGTGTGTTGTGGTGGTCTGTGTGTTGTGGCGGTCAGTGTGTTGTGGTGGTCTGTGTGTTGTGGTGGTCTGTTGTGGTGGTCTGTGTGTTGTGGTGGTCAGTGTGTTGTGGTGGTCTGTGTGTTGTGGTGGCCTGTGTGTTGTGGTGGTCAGTGTGTTGTGGTGGTCTGTGTGTTGTGGTGGTCTGTTGTGGTGGTCTGTGTGTTGTGGTGGTCAGTGTGTTGTGGTGGTCAGTGTGTTGTGGTGGTCAGTGTGTTGTGGTGGTCAGTGTGATGTGGTGGTCAGTGTGTTGTGGTGGTCAATGTGTGGTGGTGGTCAGTGTGTTGTGGTGGTCTGTTGTGGTCAGTGTGTTGTGGTGGTCTGTGTGTTGTGGTGGTCTGTTGTGGTCAGTGTGTTGTGGTGGTCTGTGTGTTGTGGTGGTCTGTTGTGGTGGTCAGTGTGTTGTGGTGGTCTGTTGTGGTGGTCAGTGTGTTGTGGTGGTCTGTGTGTTGTGGCGGTCAGTGTGTTGTCTGTGGTGTCCAAGTATTTCGATGTGAGTCGGTGGTCAGAGTGTTGTGGTGGTCAGTGTGTTGTGGTGGTCAGTGTGTTGTGGTTGCCAAGTGTTGTGGTGGTCTGTTGTGGTCAGTGTGTTGTGGTGGTCTGTTGTGGTCAGTGTGTTGTGGTGGTCAGTGTGTTGTGGTGGTCAGTGTGTTGTGGTGGTCTGTGTGTTGTGGTGGTCTGTTGTGGTCAGTGTGTTGTGGTGTTCTTTTGTGGTGGTCAGTGTGTTGTGGTGGTCAGTGTGTTGTGGTGGTCTGTTGTGGTGGTCAGTGTGTTGTGGTGGTCAGTGTGTTGTGGTGGTCAGTGTGTTGTGGTGGTCAGTGTGTTGTGGTGGTCAGTGTGTTGTGGTGGTCAGTGTGTTGTGGTGGTCAGTGTGTTGTGGTGGTCAGTGTGTTGTGGTGGTCAGTCTGTTGGGGTGGTCAGTGTGTTGTGGTCAGTGTGTTGGGGTGGTCAGTGTGTTGTGGTGGTCAGTGTGTTGTGGTGGTCAGTCTGTTGTGGTGGTCAGCGTGTTGTGGTGGTCAGTGTGTGATGGTGGTCAATGTGTTGTGGTGGTCTGTTGTGGTGGTCAATGTGTTGTGGTGGTCTGTTGTGGTGGTCTGTTGTGGTGGTCAGTGTGTTGGGGTGGTCAGTCTGTTGTGGTGGTCAGTTTGTTGTGTTGGTCAGTATGTTGTGGTGGTCAGTGTGTTGTGGTGGTCTGTTGTGGTGGTCTGTTGTGGTGGTCTGTTGTGGTGGTCAGTGTGTTGTGGTGGTCTGTTGTGGTGGTCTGTTGTGGTGGTCTGTTGTGGTGGTCAGTGTGTTGTGGTGGTCTGTTGTGGTGGTCTGTTGTGGTGGTCAGTGTGTTGGGGTGGTCAGTCTGTTGTGGTGGTCAGTCTGTTGTGGTGGTCAGTGTGTGATGGTGGTCAGTGTGTGATGGTGGTCAATGTGTTGTGGTGGTCTGTTGTGGTGGTCAATGTGTTGTGGTGGTCTGTTGTGGTGGTCTGTTGTGGTGGTCAGTGTGTTGGGGTGGTCAGTCTGTTGTGGTGGTCAGTTTGTTGTGTTGGTCAGTATGTTGTGGTGGTCAGTTGTGGTCAGTCTGTTGTGGTGGTCTGTTGTGGTCAGTCTGTTGTGGTGGTCTGTTATGGTCAGTATGTTGTGGTGGTCAGTGTGTTGTGGTGGTCAGTATGTTGTGAGGGTCAGTGTGTTGTCATTGGTCTGTGTGTTGAGGTGATCAGTGTGTTGTGGTAGTCAGTGTGTTGTGGTGGTCAGTGTGTTGTCATTGGTCTGTGTGTTGTGGTGAGCAGTGTATTGTGGTAGTCAGTGTGTTGTGGTGGTCAGTGTGTTGTGGTGGTCAGTGTGTTGTGGGGGTCAGTGTGTTGTGGTGGTCTGTTGTGGTCAGTCTGTTGTGGTGGTCAGTGTGTTGTCATTGGTCTGTGTGTTGTGGTGGTCTGTGTATTGTGGTAGTCAGTGTGTTGTGGTGGTCAGTGTGTTGTGGTGGTCAGTGTGTTGTGGTGGTCAGTGTGTTGTGGTGGTCAGTGTGTTGTGGTGGTCAGTGTGTTGTGGTGGTCAGTGTGTTGTGGTGGTCAGTGTGTTGTGGGGGTCAGTGTGTTGTGGTGGTCAGTGTGTTGTGGTGGTCAGTGTGTTGTGGTGGTCAGTGTGTTGTGGGGGTCAGTGTGTTGTGGTGGTCAGTGTGTTGTGGTGGTCAGTGGGTTGTCCGTGAGGTCCAAAGATATCGAGGTGACTCGATGGTCAGTGTGTTGTGGTAGTCAGTGTGTTGTGGTGGTCAGTGTGTTGTGGTGGTCAGTGCGTTGTGGTGGTCAGTGTGTTGGGGTGGTCAGTGTGTTGTCCGTGAGGTCCAAGTATTTCGAGGTGACTCGTTGGTCAGTGTGTTAAATCTGTTGGTGCTTAGGGTAGAGCTACATGGTTTCTTTCAAACATTTTACTCCGTGAGAAGTGTGTGTGTGGGGGGGGGGGGTGATTTGTGTTTACAAGAACTAGATGTAACCATAGCTTGTTGCTGGATGTCGTTTATGTCTGTACTGTCGTTTGATCCTAGCTGATCCCATTCTAAGCTTGTCTGCTGCATAATGCCAATATCCCCATTAGCCCTTCCACGAGAAGTTCCACCTGTTCATTGAGAAGCGGCTGTCTCTACCCCCGGACCACGAGGAGGTGCAGCTGTGGACGGACTTCCTGGGGGTGGTGTGTGCGGTCATCAAGTCGGAGGAGGCCAAACTACCTAAAAAGTCCGGCTGTTGTGTCGTCATGTAGCTGGCCAACACCACAAGCAACCATGTAAGGACCGACAGACAGACCGACCGACAGACAGACCGACCCTTCTGACCGACCGACCGACAGACCAACCAAACTACCTAAAAAGTCCGGCTGTTGTGTCGTCATGTAGCTGGACAACACCACAAGCAACCATGTAAGGACCGACAGACAGACAGACCGACCGACCGACCGACCCACGGCCCGACCGACCGACCGACCGACCGTCCGACCGACCGACCGACCGACCGACAGACAGACAGACAGACCGACCGACCGACCGACCGACCGACAGACAGACAGACAGACAGACCGACCGACCGACCGACCGACCGATCCACGGACCAACCGACCGACCGACCGACCGACCGACCGACCGACCGACCGACCGACAGACAGACAGACAGACAGACAGACAGACAGACAGACCGACCGACCGACCGACCGACCGATCCACGGACCAACCGACCGACCGACCGACCGACCGACCGACCGACCGACCGACCGACCGACTAAAAGGATGTGAACAGACCACTATTATGTTTCAGATATTTCCGTGTTCATCTTTTGTCGATGTCCATCGACATTTTATCATCTCAAGTTGATGTTGATAAGAGAATTCACCTTTATGTTGATAAGAGAAAGATAATTTACCATCTAATGTTTCAATAGAAGAGAAAAACGCCATGGAATCAAAAAACATCAATCAATTCTGATTAGTCAAATAAATTTTCAAACTAGTATTGGGCTGCTATTTTTGTTTTCACACTCCTCTCACGCACACACATACACGTACCTACATGTTGATAATATATTTTACTCATAGAATTGGATGGCTAGAATATAGCCAACAATTTTACGGAACGTTGGGCCAACAGATAGTGAGGCCAACATGAAGCAGATTGTGGGCCAACATGGAGCAGATAGTGGGCCAACATGGAGCAGATAGTGGGGACAACATGGAGCAGAAGTGGGGCCAACATGGAGCAGATAGTGGGCCTACAAGGAGCAGACAGTGGGCCAACATCGAGCAGATAGTGGGGCCGATTTGGAGCAGATAGTGGGGCCAACATGAAGCAGATAGTGGGGCCAACATGGAGCAGATAGTGGGCCTACATGAAGCAGATAGTGGGGCCAACATGAAGCAGATAGTGGGGCCAACATGAAGCAGATAGTGGGCCAACATGGAGCAGATAGTGGGCCAACATTAAGCAGATAGTGGGACCAACATGGAGTAGATAGTGGGTCAACATGGAGCAGATAGTGGGGCCAACAGATTGTGGGGCCAACATGGAGCAGAAGTGGGGCCAATTTGGAGCAGATAGTGGGCCTACATGCAGCAGATAGTGGGGCCAACATGGAGCAGATAGTGGGGCCAACAAGGAGCAGATAGCGGGCCAACATGAAGCAGATAGTGGACCAACATGCAGCAGATAGTGGGGCCAACATGGAGCAGATAGTGGGGCCAACATATAGTGGGGCCATCATGTAGCAGATAGTGGGGCCAACAAGGAGCAGATAGCGGGCCAACATGAAGCAGAAAGTGGGCCAACATGGAGCAGATAGTGGGCCAACATGGAGCAGATAGTGGGGCCAACATGAAGCAGATAGTGGTCCAACATGGAGCAGATAGTGGGCCTACATGGAGTAGATAGCGGGCCAACATGAAGCAGATAGTGGACCAACATGAAGCAGATAGTGGGCCTACATGAAGCAGATAGTGGGCCTACATGAAGCAGATAGTGGGCCAACATGGAGCCAACATGAAGCAGCAGATAGTGGGGCCAACATGAAGCAGATAGTGGGCCTACATGAAGCAGATAGTGGGGCCAACATGAAGCAGATAATGGGGCCAACATGGAACAGATAGTGGGTCAACATGGAGCAGATTGTGGGCCAACATGGAGCAGTAAGTGGGCCTACATGAAGCAGATAGTGGGGCCAACATGGAGCGGATAGTGGGCCTACATGAAGCAGATAGTGGGGCCAACATGAAGCCGATAGTGGGGCCAACATGAAGCAGATAGTGGGGCCAAAATGAAGCAGATAGTGGGCCAACATGAAGCAGATAGTGGGGCCAACATGAAGCAGATAGTGGGGTCAACATGGAGCAGATAGTGGGCCTACATGAAGCAGATAGTGGGGCCAACATGAAGCAGATAGTGGGCCTACATGAAGCAGATAGTGGGGCCAACATGAAGCAGATAGTGGACCAACATGAAGCAGATTGTGGGGCCAACATGGAGCAGATAGTGGGTCAACATGGAGCAGATAGTGAGGCCAACATGGAGCAGATAGTGGGGCCAACATGAAGCAGATAGTGGACCAACATGGAGCAGATAGTGAGGCCAACATGGAGCAGATAGTGGGCCTACATGAAGCAGATAGTGGGGCCAACATGAAGCAGATAGTGGACCAACATGGAGCAGATAGTGAGGCCAACATGGAGCAGATATTGGGGCCAACAGATAGTGGGGCCAAGATGGAGCAGATGGTCTCCAGAGTGAAAACAACTGCTATGACGTCGCTATCTCCAGTTTCTATTTTTAGACCAGCGACGTGGCACGTAGCGCAGATCTTTTAATCTGGGGCTGTTCCACATCTTTTCAGCTTGCGTCAGAGAGAGGTGCGGGGGGGGGGGGGGGGGATCACACCCTTGTGACGATGAAATGTTATAACAATATCAGAACATTTAATACAGTTGTCAAGGACAAAAACCAAGAAAGCTAAATCGCGATTTATTCACAGGCGACAAACTAAAGAACTCCATAGCTTTCTGTTCATAAAAACAATATCAAAGAAACAATTATACAAAAAATAATGCGTTACATATTCATTTTTATTTGATAGGTAAATATGTTCCATTCTAGAACTGAACAAATTATTTTTGGAGCAGATTTCGGTCAAATTATGTGGGCCTGTCTCTCTAGACTTGTAACTACATGACCTGTCTCACTAGACGTGTAACTACATGACCTGTCTCACTAAACTTGTAACTACATGACCTGTCTCACTAGACTTGTAACTACATGACCTGTCTCACTAGACTTGTAACTACATGACCTGTCTCACTAGACTTGTAACTACATGACCTGTCTCACTAGAAGTGTAACTACATGACCTGTCTCAGACTTGTAACTACATGACCTGTCTCACTAGACTTGTAACTACATGACCTGTCTCACTAGACTTGTAACTACATGACCTGTCTCACTAGACTTGTAACTACATGACCTGTCTCACTAGACTTGTAACTACATGACCTGTCTCACTAGACTTGTAACTACATGACCTGTCTCAATAGACTTGTAACTACATGACCTGTCTCACAAGACGTGTAACTACATGACCTGTCTCAGACTTGTAACTACATGACCTGTCTCCCTAGACTTGTAACTACATGACCTGTCTAAGACTTGTAACTACATGACCTGTCTCACTAGACTTAAAACTACATGACCTGTCTCACTAGACTTGTAACTACATGACCTGTCTCACTAGACATGTAACTACATGACTTGTCTCACTAGACGTGTAACTACATGACCTGTCTCACTAGACTTGTAACTACATGACCTGTCTCACTAGACTTGTAACTACATGACCTGTCTCACTAGACTTGTAACTACATGACCTGTCTCACTAGACTTGTAACTAAATGACCTGTCTCACTAGACTTTAACTACATGACCTGTCTCACTAGACTTGTAACTACATGACCTGTCTCACTAGACGTGTAACTACATGACCTGTCTCAGACTTGTAACTCCATGACCTGTCTCCCTAGACTTGTAACTACATGACCTGTCTCAGACTTGTAACTACATGACCTGTCTCACTAGACTTGTAACTACATGACCTGTCTCACTAGACGTGTAACTACATGACCTGTCTCAGACTTGTAACTACATGACCTGTCACACTAGACTTGTAACTACATGACCTGTCTCACGAGACTTGTAACTACATGACCTGTCTGAGATTTGTAACTACATGACATGTCTCACTAGACTTGTAACTACATGACCTGTCTCAGACTTGTAACTACATGACCTGTCACACTAGACTTGTAACTACATGACCTGTCTCACTAGACTTGTAACTACCTGACCTGTCTCATTAGACTTGTAACAACATGACCTGTCTGAGATTTGTAACTACATGACCTGTCTAACTAGACTTGTAACTACATGACCTGTCTCAGACTTGTAACTACCTGACCTGTCTCACTAGACTTGTAACTACATGACCTGTCTCACTAAACTTGTAACTACATGACCTGTCTCAGATTTGTAACTACATGACCTGTCTCACTAGACTTGTAACTACATGACCTGTCTCACTAGACTTGTAACTACATGACCTGTCTCACTAGACATGTAACTACATGACCTGTCTCACTAGACTTGTAACTACCTGACCTGTCTCACTAGACATGTAACTACATGACCTGTCTCACTAGACATGTAACTACATGACCTGTCTCACTAGACTTGTAACTACCTGACCTGTCTCACGAGACTTGTAACTACCTGACCTGTCTCACTAGACATGTAACTACATGACCTCTCTAGACCGCTGACAACATTCCATCACGCAGTCGACAGTGTACATTAAGCGGTCAGGTGTGACGATGAGTAAATTGACTAATCCGTGACTAATCCGTGACGAATCTCTTTACACGGGGATTTACTGCTGTCGTGCGCTGCCTAAAGGCCGTGTTTCACGGAGTACCCTCAGTCTCATCTTACATGTGTGGCGGTAATGTTTCAAAGCTCTCTCAAACAATCTAGTAGGTGTAGCAATTTATGTGGCAAACGGCCGCTTAGTAACCAGCCCATACATATATATATATATATATATATATATATATATATATATATATATATATATATATATGTGTGTGTGTGTGTGTGTGTGTGTGTGTGTGTGTGTGTTTGTGTGTTTGTGTATGAGGCACGTACATATACAGTGTAACATGAAAAACCTCACCCATTCTGTTCTGCTTGCCCAAAGGCACCCATCACCTTAACAAAATTTGGATCCCAATGTTTTAACAACAAATTTGATAGTGTCGCCGCACCTAGAAGAATTGGGGGGGGGGGGGGGGGCGACCGTTTGGCCAGCCTTAGATCCGGCATCGGTTTTCTCTCCAGTTAATCGGTGCTAGAAGTTGAAGATTCCAGAGTTACTGCCGATGACATTTGCTCGTGTTTGTTTTCTTTCTAGAAGCTTTTAAGATATTTCCTTCACATGATTTTAACCTTACTCGAAGCTAACCTGCTCAAGGAAGGGAGGCGACAGCAGCTTGAATTAAGGATATTTACAAATACATTGTGTCTGGGTTATGGTTCTTGATCACTTGACCCTTGGGTGCGGGGAAAGTGAGATGTTGTAGGTCAGCTTGACCCAGGGGGGAGAGTTCCAGGCCCTAGGGACACCATGGTGCCAGGAGTGAACTGGAAGACTTGCCACTGGCACCGCTGACGTCAAACCACTTTCGTAAGGGCGTTTTATAGTAAACATTTTTGTTCTGCGATTTGTTGCGAGCTACTGTTTGTACCGTCATGATCTTTTGATCTTTTCCAAACTACTGTTTTACTGTCATGTTCTGCGATATGTTGCAAGCTACTATTTGTACAGTCATGTTCTGCGATTTGTTGCAAGCTACTATTTGTACTATCATGTTATGTGACTGATCACAAGCTACTGTTTGTACCGATATGATCTGTGGCTTGTTCCAACTGTTTGTACTGCAATGTTGCAAGATTTGTTCCAACTGTTTTTACTGCAATGTTGCAAGATTTGTTCCAACTGTTTTTACTGCAATGTTGCAAGATTTGTTCCCTGTAAAACATTGCCGCCATGTTTGCGCCGTACAACATCCCCCACCCCTCACTTCACAAAGAATTGTTGAGTAATCCAAACCATCTCTAAAGAGTAGCCTGAACAGTTATTTCAAGGGAGTGAAGCGAGGTAATACAGTGGAGGGAAAAGATTTATCTACCCTGTCTGCCATGTCAGGTTACTGTGACCTTTGTAGAGCAGAAGGATTCGGAAGTACCGAAGACACGTGGAAAGCACCAGAGAATAATCTCTAGCATGGGAATAGATAATTGATTCCACTTGTTATCTTTAAATAAGTACACTTTGATTTAGTCTTGAATTACTGCTACGGTAAACAATTGTTTAAAATAGCGCTTTATTTATGTTAGAGGATTATTTATAATCCATGCCGCGACAAACAGTTTTTGAATAAAAACATTTGACTCAGCATTGCATTTGATTAGAGTTTTAATTATTTTCTTCTAGATATTAATTGATAGATTAAAGTTATCAAGAGAGGACAAGTAATCAAAGTAATTTTTTCAGATTTACTGCAATACATAGTCACATGTATTACAGTAGTTGTTCGTGGTTACTGCTATCATTATTCGCAGTAATTTTGGGGAAATTTTAGGCTAAATTTCAACCTCGTTATCTCGTTCTCGTGAGCTAACGAGGCAACGAGAGATGGCGAGATAACGCGAGACGTGAGCCAGGGGCACCAGGTATAGCAGCATGTTTGTACTGGGCTGTTTACCAACCCCGCAAGGTGCCATTGTCGTAGGTAGGTGTTGGCTTCAGTGTTTACCACTGTGATCAAAGCGGCGATTGGACTTCAATTGGCCAACAGATCTGCTGAAGACAATGTTGTGCTACCTCCGTGCTGGGTTTAAATAGCGACTCTCTCTAGAATTTTGGTCTCTCTCGAATTATACTCTTTGGACCCCCCCCCCCCCCGCCCACCCCTTAGCGTTCTCTCTAAACTTTTGGCCACCTGAACTTTCTCAAGTTTTAGCCACCTTTGACTTTCTGTCCAGACTTATAATCACCTTCAATATCCTATCTCGACTTTTGGCCACCTTCGACATTCTCTCTCGACTTTTTACCACAGACTTTTTCTCCCTACTTTTAGCCAAACTCGACTTTGTCTCTCGACTTTTTGCCATCCTCAACATTCTCTCTCAAATTTTGGCCACCCTCGACTTTGTCTCTTGACTTTTGGCCACCCTCGACTTTGTGTCTTGACTTTTGGCCACCCTCGACTTTGTGTCTTGACTTTTGGCCACCCTCGACTATGTCTCTCGACTTTTGGCCACCCTCGACTTTGTCTCTTGACTTTTGGCCACCCTCGACTTTGTCTCTTGACTTTTGGCCACCTTTTTTTTCTCTCTTGACTTTCTTACGCGACTTTTGGCCACCCTCGACTATGTCTCTTGACTTTTGGCCACCCTCGACTTTGTCTCTTGACTTTTGGCCACCCTCGACTTTGTCTCTTGACTTTTGGCCACCCTCGACTTTGTCTCTTGACTTTTGGCCACCTTTTTTTTCTCTCTTGACTTTCTTACGCGACTTTTGGCCACCCTCGACTATGTCTCTTGACTTTTGGCCACCCTCGACTTTGTCTCTTGACTTTTGGCCACCCTCGACTTTGTCTCTTGACTTTTGGCTACTCTCGACTTTCTCTCTTGACTTTCTCACTCGACTTTTTCCCATCTTTATGGTCTTTCTCATGACTCTTTCGACGCGTATTGCCTCTCCCACCGCCCCGCCCCCCTCTTCACGTGTAGAACTTTGGTCCAGGTTCCCGTCCATAAACAAAAGTCACCTATAAAGCTGGGTTGTTCCAGGACCCGCCCTCAATCTTGTGGGCCTGTATTGCTCTACTTGTTTGGAATCTGATGACGTAATAAAACCTGGTTAAACCTTTGCAGACGACGACCTTGAGACATGTTTTGTCCTTCAAACCCGAACAACTCACCGCGATACCCGTACTCGATCCCTAACCTTTAATCCAGAAACACTCCTCACGATACCCGTATCCGACCCCGACAAGACCCCTGCGATCCCACGTGCGAACACTTTGTGTGCGCCGTACGTGTGAGCAGGGTTTATTTATTCTGGAATCAGGACACCATTCTGCCGGCTTTAGGGCACCTAAATGTCATAGTTTAGTGCGGATTCCACAGAATCTCCTATCATCGTTTGAACTTTAGTTTAGAAGTGCGGGACGAAGTTTGAAACAACAGCAATTTAAATATATTTTGCTAGATGTTATGAATAATATTTCTTTTTTTTTCGGTTGTTGTTTTGTTCATTTTAAACCTGCCCAATCCTGTTATATTTTAGACTTGAACACGTTGCTACATGAACTGAACTCAATGTCTAGTCTCAAATCGTTCGGTTACATTGCAGGAAATGAAGTCTTGGAAAATAAAGTTGTTAGCGACTGTATTTTCTTGTCATACTTTTCGCCTGACAGTTTCCCACTCTATGCCTAGCAGTTTCACTACATGAGTCACCACAAGTGTCACCACATGAGTCACCACAAGTGTCACCACAAGATTCACCACAAGATTGACCACAAGATTCACCACATGAGTCACCACAAGATTCACCACACGAGTCACCACAAGATTCACCACAAGAGTCACCTCAAGATTCATCACAAGATTCATCACAAGATTCACCACAAGATTCACCACATGAGTCACCACAAGATTCACCACACGAGTCACCACAAGATTCACCACAAGATTCATCACAAGATTCATCACATGAGTCACCACAAGATTCACCACACGAGTCACCACAAGATTCACCACACGAGTCACCACAAGATTCACCACAAGATTCACCACATGAGTCACCACAAGATTCACCACACGAGTCACCACAAGATTCACCACAAGATTCACCACAAGATTCATCACAAGATTCACCACAAGATTCACCACAAGAGTCAACACAAGATTCACCACAAGATTCACCACACGAGTCACCACAAGATTCACCACAAGATTCACCACATGAGTCACCACAAGATTCACCACACGAGTCACCACAAGATTCACCACAAGATTCACCGCAAGATTCACCACATGATTCACCACAAAAGTCACCATACGAGTCACCATACGAGTCACCACATGAGTCACCACATGAGTCACCATACGAGTCACCATATGAGTCACCACATGAGTCACCACATGAGTCACCACATGAGTCACCAAATGAGTCACCACATGAGTCACCACATGAGTCACCACGCGAGTCACCACATGAGTCACTATATGAGTCACCACATGGGTCACTATTAAAGTCACCATATGAGTCACTATATGAGTCACTATATGAGTCACCACATGAGTCATCACATGAGTCACCACATGAGTCACCACATGAGTCACCACATGAGTCACCACATGAGTCACCACAAGAGTCACCACAAGAGTCACCACAAGTCACCACACGAGTCACAGTAAGAGTCACCACACGAGTCACTACTAAAGTCACCAAAAAAAGACAACACAGGAGTCACCACATGAGTCGTTACATGTGTCACCACAAGAGTCACAATTAAATTCACCACATGTGTCACTATTAAAGTCATCACAAAAGTCATCACAAGAGTTACCACAAGAGTCACCACACAAGTCACTATTAAAAGCACCACAAGCGTCACCACAAGAGTCACCACAAGCGTCACCACAAGAGTCACCACAAGCGTCAATATTTAAGTCACCACGTGAGTCACCACATAATTCACCACACGAGTCCCCACACAATTTACCTACATGAAACTAGACTGCTCTGATTTACAATATTTACAAATTTCCCTTACAAAAATCTTATTATTTTTTCCCCATTTTGTTTACACAAATTTCGTTTCTTCTCGTTTCGTTTTGTTTCTTTCGTTTTCGTGTTCCGGTAAACGCTGGTTGAGGTTTTTGATTTGGCCGGAGTTAACTAGGAGCGGACGTGCTGTTTACAAACAGTGGTAATTTTGTTCATGGCGCATGTTGGCACCGCCTCGACATGCAATTGATAGCAGATCTGGAGGGGGGGGGGGGGTCTCAAGGTGGGCGGGGCTGATACTTGGGTGGTGGAGGGAGGGGGGGGGAGCTTACCTTTAAAGGTATCGTGGTGGGGTGGTCGTATTCCATGTGAAATTAGATGGTGCCATTAGAATGTCTGGTGTTGTTTCTTTAAAGAGATTTTTTAAAATATAAATATTATACATGTCACTTCAAGCAGCTAGAGAATCATTGATAGTTAGTTATCAGGGTAGGGGGATGAGGGTAGGGGGAAGGGGGTTGAGGGTAGGGGGTTGAGGGTAGGGGGAAGGGGGGAAGGTGGTAGTGTTAGGAGTGGAAAGCTCTGGAAGGGGGTATTGTAGTTGGTAGTGGGTAAATTAGGGGTTAGTGTAGATGTTATGGGGTAGTGTTAGGAATGGAAACCTATTGGCTAGACCAGGGGTCTCCAAACTACGGCCCGCGAGGTCCTCTCATCCGGCCCTCGGAGATCTTTTTGTCCGCCGAAAAAAAATGTTTGTTGGAGGTGGCTGAGGTAAAATTCAAAACAAATTGAAAATGTAGCATTGGGTGCAAATAACGTTGAACCAAATGTGGCCAGTTGCCCAGCAAATGACCTCTTTTAGGACAAGTTCAAATGAGGGCGGGTGCATTTTATAATCATTTGCCCAAGGAAGACTTTCCTAATATTCAAACTTTTGCCTCAAATAACCTTTCAAATGTTGGATCAACATACAAACTGTATCAAGAATGAAGTATGCCTTTCTTCAGATTTTTTTCTCTGGTGGCGCGCACTTGAAATGTGCATATATATATATATATATATATATATATATATATATATATATATATATATATATATATATATATATATATATATATATATATATATATATATATATATATATATATATATATATATATATATATATATATATATATTCTGTTGGGGGGGGGGCTTCGCCACCCCGAGGAGATGCCTGGAAGAAATTCTGGCCCCCAAACGTATATTTGATAGTTAATCCGGCCCTCGGGCTGAAAAGTTTGGAGACCCCTGGGCTAGACTTAGACTGATCCTTGTATTATATATAAAGCACTTAAGAACCTTGTGTAAGCTTTAAACGACGTAAACCAGTAAAACCTATAGAAAACCTGCCATATACCCATCCCAACCTCTTGTACGCCTGTGACCCTATGTCTTCGATGTTCTTACAGACACAATACCCAGGTCTCGAGTTTCTATTGACTTGTACAATCATGTGTTGACTTGTACAATCATGTGTTGCCTTGTACAATCATGTGTTTCCTTGTACAATCATGTGTTGACTTGTACAATCATGTGTTGACGTGTACAATCATGTGTTGACTTGTACAATCATGTGTTGTCATGTACAATCATGTGTTGCCTTGTACAATCATGTGTTGACTTGTACAATAATGTGTTGACTTGTACAATCATGAGTTGACTTGTACAATCATGTGTTGACTTGTACAATCATGTGTTAACTTGTACAATCATGTATTGACTTGTACAATCATGTGTTGACTTGTACAATCATGTGTTGTCATGTACAATCATGTGTTGACATGTACAATCATGTCTTGACTTGTACAATCATGTGTTGCCTTGTACAATCATGTGTTGACTTGTACAATCATGTGTTGCCTTGTACAATCATGTGTTGCCTTGTACAATCATGTGTTTCCTCGTACAATCATGTGTTGACTTGTACAATCATGTGTTGACTTGTACAATCATGTGTTGACTTGTACAATCATGTGTTGACTTGTACAATCATGTGTTGACTTGTACAATAATGTGTTGACTTGTACAATCATGTGTTGACTTGTACAATCATGTGTTGACTTGTACAATCATGTGTTGACTTGTACAATCATGTATTGACTTGTACAATCATGTGTTGACTTGTACAATCATGTGTTGTCATGTACAATCATGTGTTGACATGTACAATCATGTCTTGACTTGTACAATCATGTGTTGCCTTGTACAATCATGTGTTGACTTGTACAATCATGTGTTGACTTGTACAATCATGTGTTGACTTGTACAATCATGTGTTGCCTTGTACAATCATGTGTTTCCTTGTACAATCATGTGTTGACTTGTACAATCATGTGTTGACTTGTACAATCATGTGTTGACTTGTACAATCATGTGTTGACTTGTACAATCATGTGTTGACTTGTACAATCATGTGTTGTCTTGTACAATCATGTGTTGACTTGTACAATCATGTGTTGACTTGTACAATCATGTGTTGACTTGTACAATCATGTGTTGTCTTGTACAATCATGTGTTGACTTACACAATTATGTGTTGACTTGTACAATCATGTGTTGACTTGTACAATCATGTGTTGACTTGTACAATCATGTGTTGTCATGTACAATCATGTGTTGACTTGTACAATCATGTGTTGACTTGCACAATCATGTGTTGACTTGTACAATCATGTGTTGACTTGTACAATCATGTGTTGCCTTGTACAATCATGTGTTGACTTGTACAATTATGTGTTGACTTGTACAATCATGTGTTGACTTGTACAATCATGTGTTGACGTGTACAATCATGTGTTGACTTGTACAATCATGTGTTGTCATGTACAATCATGTGTTTCCTTGTACAATCATGTGTTGACTTGTACAATCATGTGTTGACTTGTACAATCATGTGTTGTCTTGTACAATCATGTGTTGACTTACACAATTATGTGTTGACTTGTACAATCATGTGTTGACTTGTACAATTATGTGTTGACTTGTACAATCATGTGTTGTCATGTACAATCATGTGTTGTCATGTACAATCATGTGTTGACTTGTACAATTATGTGTTGACTTGTACAATCATGTGTTGACTTGTACAATCATGTGTTGACGTGTACAATCATGTGTTGACTTGTACAATCATGTGTTGTCATGTACAATCATGTGTTGACTTGTACAATCATGTGTTGACTTGTACAATCATGTGTTGACTTGTACAATCATGTGTTGACTTGTACAATCATGTGTTGACTTGTACAATCATGTGTTGACTTGTGTACATAGCTCGTGGTCTCTGTGTGATCTCGACATATGAAGAGATGGGCGCTCACTGTTATGTCTATAGTTCTATACAATAGATTTATTTGAGCATGTGGTGACCACATGATAGCCTCGAGCCCCATTTTTTTAAACACTGTACCTGACACAGAGACTAGTCGGTACTTAGTGGTCGTAGAAGTTGGTGGTCGTAGAACTAGCTGTTTCTGTTAGAACTTTTGTGGGGGATAAACACCTACTCACACAAAAATACACACACACACACACACACACATATATATATATATATATATATATATATATATATATATATATATATATATATATATATATATATATATATATATATATATAAACTCATATTTGAATCAGGCGTGGCGCTATTTACTAGACATTGGCGCGTCAACTTTGACAGTTCCTCTCTGGTGCAGAAATGTGCATCTATGCCACTTGCTCAAATAGTTTCTGTTTTTCGCGAACAGATGGAAAAATATGAGCATTTAAAGAAAGTGCAGGTCCAAGCAGATTTTTATTTTATGTGTAGCAAATATCATTGTGAAACTGACCTCAGCAGATATGACGTATATTAGAATTGGAATGCACTGACGTACACGGAGTTTTTGTAGTTGTTACGTGTGGGGTAGACATATTTATTTGACGTCATCCAGATGTCTAGAACATCACAGAACTGAGCATATTGTGGGCATCGGGTCCTCGCCCTAGATATTGTCCAATTGTGGCAATATTTGAGACTAAGACAGATGAACATCTATAGTTAGTTGAAGAGCATGAGAAAAAAAAGTTGTATTTTATCACAAGGTTTTATTTAACTTGCTTCCTCGTCCAGCGTGTCGTCAGTCGTCATAGATCGAAACGCTCGATCTAAATTTCGGGCACTTCTAACTGACAGATTTGTTTCAAAGTTGACACGTGGGTCAAGACGTGAAGACAATGCAATCTGACATTAAAGTTGACATAATTGAATACCTAATTAATTTTTTATGAATTAATTAAAATTGCGTCCAATTAGTAGACTGTCTTATCCTACTATTCCGCACTATCACATCATTAGGTGCGCAATGGTTTTTAGTCATGCAACTCTATTGTAAAAATATATATATTTAAAGAGAATAAAAATAATGACAAACGTTTTAATAATAAGTTTATGTAATAATGCACTACAAACTAGAAAATAAATGATTTCCTTTAAATATATAATAATACTCTACCATTTAAATAACTCTAAAGAAAAGCATGTGTCGCTTCCTAAATATTAGTAAATATATCCAATACATATTATAGCGATTCAAACTATTCTTTATAGTTATTAAAATATTAGTGTTATAATAAATTTAAAGAAAATCATTTATTTTCTCATTTTAGTACATTATTACTTAATAGCGTGTTATTAAAAGTTTTTTTTTCATTAAAAAATTAGTTCTATAATTAGCTTAAGAGCATTACTACAAATATTGTATTTTATATAAAATTTTTCATAATACAGCAGTGGCCAATAACATGTGATTTTAAGGAAAGATGGTCAATCCAGCTACGTTTCATGGTGGGGTCGACATTGTGTAATTTAGACAGAGACAGCCATCTCCTAATGACTTAATGGACATCTTGTTATGTAAGGGTTACACTAGTGAAGCAATGAGGAATAAAGTCGCTGTACCGAACCAAATATACCCGTCTTACAAAACCCTGTTGTACCCAACATTTTGAAATATAACCCACCCTTGTTTTACCCAACCTCGCCGTACCCAATCTTCTTGCACACAATCTTCTTGCACCAAACCTTATTGCACCCAACCTTATTTTACTTAACCTTATTGTACCCAACCCAGTTGTACCCAACCTTGTTGTACAAAACCTTGTTGTACCCAACCTTGTTGTACCCAACAGTGTTGTACCAAACCTTATTTACCCAACCTTGTTGTACCTGTACCAAACTCAGTTGTACCCAACTTTACTGTAGGTTTGGTGACAGAGGTTTTGTTACGGTTTGGTGAGAGGTTTTGTTACGGTTTGGTGAGAGGTTTTGTTACGGTTTGGTGAGAGGTTTTGTTACGGTTTGGTGAGAGGTTTTGTTGCAGTTTGGTGAGAGGTTTTGTTACAGTTTGGTGAGAGGTTTTGTTACGGTTTGGTGAGAGGTTTTGTTACGGTTTGGTGAGAGGATTTGTTACGGTTTGGTGAGAGGATTTGTTACGGTTTGGTGAGAGGTTTGTTACGGTTTGGTGAGAGGTTTTGTTACGGTTTGGTGAGAGGTTTTGTTACGGTTTGGTGAGAGGTTTTGTTACAGTTTGGCACGGGTGTATAAAAAAGCACCAGTTCAGCTATCAGTGGGGGCCACAAAAGTTTCTTTTCGTCAAGTTCCAAGTAAATTGTTGCGTTCTCTGGGCCTTGATTTCGTTAAGATTGCGAAATGTTAGACAAAAACGTGTAAACCTTAGATCAACGAACCGTTATCGTCATATCGGGTTGTTTGTGTGTGTGTGTGGGGGGGGGGGGGGGGGGGGAGCGTATTGCACCGAGCGACACTATGGGAGGAAGACATGACATCAACCTAAAAAACAAATTGAACAGCCCTGGTAAACTATTTTCGACTTTGTGTATACATGATCTTAATTAAATTAATTGACCTTATAAACACAGGTGACAAGATTGTCGGGGTGGGTGGTACTAGCTGTGTTGTTCTCGTGGGTCTAGGGTCGGTTCATTAAATATCTGCAGACAAGCGTCATTCAGAAATAAGTCGGAAAACTTGTTTGTATTTATTGGGTGACTGAAACTCCGTGTCTTCAATGGTTACACTAAAGGAGTATACTTCATTGACAACATCTTTACACCATCTACTTGGCTGATCTTTTCTTCATCAAACTATCAGATCTTTTCTTCATCAAACTATCAGATCTTTTCTTCATCAAATTATCAGATCTTTTTTTCATCAAACTATCAGATCTTTTCTTCATCAAATTATCAGATCTTTTCTTCATCAAATTATCAGATCTTTTCCTCATCAAACTATCAGATCTTTTCTTCATCAAACTAATAGATCTTTTCTTCATCAAATTATCAGATCTTTTCTTCATCAAATTATCAGATCTTTTCTTCATCAAACTATCAGATCTTTTCTTCATCAAATTATCAGATCTTTTCTTCATCAAACTATCAGATCTTTTCTTCATCAAACTATTAGATCTTTTCTTCATCAAATTATCAGATCTTTTCTTCATCAAACTATCAGATCTTTTCTTCATCAAACTATTAGATCTTTTCTTCATCAAACTATCAGATCTTTTCTTCATCAAATTATCAGATCTTTTCTTCATCAAACTATCGGATCTTTTCTTCATCAAACTATCAGATCTTTTCTTCATCAAACTATCAGATCTTTTCTTCATCAAACTATTAGATCTTTTCTTCATCAAACTATCAGATCTTTTCTTCATCAAACTATCAGATCTTTTCTTCATCAAATTATCCGATCTTTTCTTCATCAAAATTGTCGGATATTTAACCACCAAACTAACGGATCTTATAGATCTTTTCACCATCAAACTGTCGATCCTGCAAGGCTATCGTATTATAATGTCTGCGCATGTGCAAAAACCACAGCGTTTGCCAGATTTCAGTACGTCTGCTTGAAGTCAAAAACTTGCGTCAATGGGCAGAATAATTTTAATTTTGAATTTTCCACACACGACCAACAGGGGAGGGGGGGGGGGGGAGTTGGAGAGGTTGAGAGGGGGGGGGGACGTCGACAATTAGGGCAGACTTCAAGAACAGTGAACCAACAAACATAAACGATGGGGGGATGGATGGTGGGGGTGTTGGTTTAGATCTTAAAGCTTCAACGTGAAGACCTGCACGTAAATCGTTGACCTTTAGGCTCGGTGCAAAGTTCAGAGGACAAATTTCCGCTTCGGTCGAGCGATGTATTGTGTGTTTCTATTGGTGCGCTGCGTATTTCGGGCAGGTTAGAACTGTCCTAGTTTCCCATTGGTTCTATTCTCACGTGGCAAGTTTTCCATTGGTTTATCTTACGTGGCGAAAAACTTTCAACTCCTGCAGTGATTCAACGCGCGCATGCGCCTGAGGGGGGCTTGTCGCGCATGCGCCTCATGTCGTCTGTCAGTGTTTGGTTAGCGGCTTGCTTTTTGCGTTCACTTCTGGCAGCCTCCATGAGGTTTGACACTCAAATATGGCTGACGTGGCTGTCTCGCGTGGTTCAGCGGGGCTCGGCAGGGTTCGGCGTGGTTCGGTGCGGTTTTTATCGCGTAGGGCGGCGACGCCCAACTTTAAATTGTATAAATTGGGAGGATGGTTTAAAAAAACAGCGGGGTGCCCTGAATTAATTCAATCTTTACTTGAATTACAAAACAATCATTTCAGTTATCACTACGCTCTATATATGTATATGTATATATATATATATATATATATATATATATATATATATATATATATATATATATATATGCCATATATGTATATATATAGGCCAAATATATATATATATATATATATATATATATATATACTAGCCGTCCCGACCAGGCCCTGCTCTGGCTTCTGTGAAAAACCTTTCTGTTAAAGACCATTACCTGTGTGTTTAGTAATCATCATAAACCCGGCATTGCACACCCAAACCAAAACCAAAACAACAAAACGCAAACATAACGCTAACACAATTACAAATACAAACGAAAACAAAAACCTAACAACTAACCCAACCACAACCACAAACACCAATACGAACACAAAGAAAAAAACAAACGAAAAAGCAAACGAAAACAAACCAAATCCAAATGCAAAACCAATCCACAAACCCAAAGAAAAAAACACAAACGAAAAAACAAACGAAAACAAACCAAATACAAACGCAAAACCAACCACAAACACAAATACAAACACAAACGCAAAGAAAATAAAACACAAACGAAAACGAAAAAAGAAAGAACAAAAACGAACCAAATCAAAACGCAACCACTAACGCAAACCCAACCTAAACACAAAGAAAACACTAACGCGAACATAAACGCACAGTGCTCAGAGTCTAGCCCGGGGCGGAATCGCCTGTTTCAGCTTAATAAACGACTATAGTACCCCAACTTATTCATAGTCTTTTACACTCACTTTAATGAACGTAGGCGCGAAACCGAACACGGGAGGCCCGGGACCCCAAATAGCACCCTGTCTGGGCGCCAGAGGACGCACCATGACGTCACCGCCTGATTGAACTTAGTAAACGACTATAGTACATAACTTATTCATAGTCTTTTGAACTCACGCGAACGTATATACCATAGCGTACACCGGAAGGCCCGGGGCGCCAAATAGCACCCTGTCGGGGTGCCGGAGGACGCCCGGATTTGATTCACTTAAAGACTATAGTAACCTTTCTTACCCATAGTCTATCGCACTGTTAAAAACAAAACTATGCAGCATAGCGCTCACATGATAGCCCAGGGTGCCAAATCGAACCGTGCAAGGGCGCCGGCGGACGCGCCTGTTTCAATTTAGTGAACAAAAATGATAATACTCCAAGCTTATCCGTAAATGGAAAGAAATAAACATATAGGATTTGTAGGACCTGGCTTATTAAATGTTATTGATTTTTAAAAAAAAATATTGAACAGTATGTTCAGTGTATAGAATAAATAAAAGGCAGTGTTAAAAATACCTAACGACATTGCACTTAATCAATCCCCGCTAATTATGTAATTATTTTTTTTTCTTAACACCAAAAACAAAGTAATAAAATGTAAATTCTTTCTTCTTAAGGATTTTTTTATTAAAGGGAAGTAACTGTGCAGTCAATACATTTCCGACACAATTTTAGAAATTTTATAAACGTCGATACACTTTTTAAAAATTTTATGTCGCGTTCATAATTGAAAATTATTCTTCTAAGTAAATAGAATGAAAATTGTTTTTAAAAACTTTCAATGGTAATTTTTTGACTCGTAAATTTAGACTATGAGCACGATAAAAAATCTAACACTTAAATCCATAGAAGTGTCAACGACAAACTTTTTTTTGCCACACGTTACAGAACTGAGCTTTATATATTAGATATATATATATATATATATATATATATATATATATATATATATATATATATAGGCCATATATGTATATATATATAGGCCAAATATATATATATATATATATATATATATATATATATATATATATATATATATATATATATATATATATATATATATATATATATATATATATATATATATATATATATATATATATATATATATATATATATATATATATATATATATATATATATATATATATATATATATATATATATATGTATATGTATATATATAGGCCAAATATATATATGTATATATATATATATATATATATATATATATATATATATATAGGCCATATATGTATATATATATAGGCCAAATATATATATATATATATATATATATATATATATATATATATATATATATAAATATATATATATATATATATATATATATATATATATATATATATATATATATATATATGTATATATATAGGCCAAATATATATATATATATATATATATATACATATATATATATATATATATATATATATATATATATATATATATATATATATATATATATATATATGCCATATATGTATATATATGTATATATATATGTGTGTATATATAGGCCAAATATATATATATATATATATATATATATATATATATATATATATATATATATATATAGGCAATATATGTATATATATAGGCCATATATATATATATATATATATATATATATATATATATATATATATATATATATATATATATATATATATATATATATATAAACGCATGCATTCTTCTAATGTCGGAGGTATTTGTCTAACTACATCTAGTGACATTCCTTGTATTGTCCATAGAAATGCATTCAGCAGAAAACCGCTCCAGTAGACACGACGATGTATGTTTACAAGTCTTCCCATGACTTAAGTACTTTGTATGCCCGACGGTCTAGCCTTAGGTTGCAGGTAAATTTCAAGCCTAGGCTGACTACCTGGTACAACAGAAGGCCTCACGGTGTTCATTTCTTACTGCTGGTTAACACAGAGGTCTAGGCCATCTATTTATAGTAACTTGAGATGTCCACTTGTGCAAAATGTAACTAAAACATCCCCACGGGTGGGGCGTGCACAAGGTGCCCCTTCTTGGTGGATCTTTAGAAGGGGCGAGGTCAAAGGTCAGAAGGACAGAATAAAGGGAGGAAGATGAAAGGGCGAGACTACACCGTCAGTGGGACTCAGCCCGTCTTCCGATGAATGCTGAGAAAACGGTACACCCCGCTTCAGAAAGGTGAGCAGATTTCTGAGACTGGTTCCAGCACTTTCACACCTGGTACCGATATGTCAGAGGTGACGAGAGAACGGCAACAGAAACAGTGGCTGGATCAATGAGATCAGCATCGAGGCTGTGTGTAAATATAGAGCGGAGATGATGCAACACACCACAGGACGAACCATCACTCCCACTTCAAATATTTCTGGATGCGAGATGATGCAACAACCAAACACCTTCGGGCTAGGGTTCCATTTCTTCCAATATTATTTATTCCAATGACGAAAGGTGCGAGAACCTCACTGGGTGCAAATCGAAATCTCGAGGAGGGGGGGGGGGGTGCAAATCGAAAGTTTGAGGGGGTGCAAATCGCAATCATCTCGAGAGGGGGGGGGGGGGTGCAAATCGAAAAGTTTGTCCCCGGGCGCCGGGTAGGGTCGCTACGCCTCTGAGCCTGATGACGCAATCAGTAGCGGATTAACGGGGAGATTTAGAGGGCTGCAGCCGGGGGCCCCCGACTTTTAGGGCCCATAATTTCCTCTTGCAAATCATTAAACTTTCACTTTACATTTACACTTGTTTGTTTTTCTTTAATATAAAAATTGCTGCACTAAGTATCTTTTTTCCAAAATACAAACACGCGCACACACGTAAGTATAAATACCAGCTGTTATCAACACCTACCCAGACATTATTTATATGCAGTCCATTAATTAGCCGACGTTTCCTAAAATAACAGGATCAGCGTTCGCTTATTACCATAAAATGTGTTGATTTTAGAGTTTAAAAAACTCTAACAGCAACACAATTTTGACATCAGTTTAGGCATACTATTGACACCCCCCCCCCTTCCCGTGTCAACCCCCCCCCCCCCCTTCCTCGCCTACCACACTCTTTAAAAATGAAACTAACAATTGAAATTTATTTTATCAGAATGCATAGCGCGGTGGTAACCAAAAATAATGTTTTTAAATATTGCAATTGTTAGGCATAGGCGCTACATTCTGAACTAGTTGTCTTTCGCAATCATTCAGACAAGCAACATTATAGACTAACCCTAGCAACATTATAGACTAACCCTAGCAATGAATGGAAAAAAAGCCTAGCCGTCTTTGCTCACCAGCTACATTACTA